AGGCTCGGTAAGAATGGTGAAACTTGTGGAAAAAAATAAAGCTGATGACAGATATTTCCAAGGCCAAGACATCGTGCGCTGCTATAGATGTGATGAAAAGGTGCGTTTTTATGCATCCCTTGCTCAACAAAAGTTTGCAAAGTATGCACTGGTGATCACTTGGAAACTAAAGCCTCTCCAGGATTTCATAAACTTGCTTTGTATGGTGTAGATGATAGAGAGATCTTGTCCAAACCTAAGGTAGAAAAAATCGATAAAAGAGGTCAGAAAGTAAAAGATACATAGAGCATTGCGCTTCTACCAGACTTACCGGAATCTCAGCGGATTATTGTTATATACCAATCTGTCGTGCTCTGTCAAAAGCAGAGAGATGGCAACTGGTCTAAAAATGAGTTAAAGAGTAATAAAGGAGATTCATTCATTAGATGTATTGCTACATCTAATTCTCACATTCTTTACTCGGCAAATAATTACGAAAATGTATACCAAACAGATTAACATTTTTCAACTGATAGTACGAGACCATTCTTCACCCCAGGAAGTGATGGATGGACCCCGAGAGGGTTGAATTTTCCCTTGTTACCCCTGGTCATATTTGGATTGGCCTGTATAATTCTAAACTAAAAAAAGGGAACGTTAACAAAATTCAATCTAACGGAACAGTTGTAGGATATCTGGGCAACGAAAAAAATAATGCAAATTCGAGGTATCTCGTTGAAAACAAAAACTAAGATATTCAGTTGGAAAGAAAGTATTTGTATTTGAACGCGAAGGAGTCCTGTGTTTTTCCTATCATATTCCGGAGGTCAGATTTACATGTATGTTCCTCCCTCGAACTGTTGCAACGGATAGACAGTGTAACATTCCTAGTACATATCCAAGAAATGGCATACATCTAATAGATAAAGATGGTAAACATCTCCGCATCTTAAAAGAAATGTCCTACTGCTTGTTGTGTCTCGTTTAAAGACTTATTGTTTGTGTGTTCGAAAGACGGAGATTTGAAAAAAAAATAACATATCTTCAGCCACTGTTTTTAAACAAGCAGTATTTGGAGTGTCTCTCATAATAGCTATATGTTTTGAGATTATCTTTTGGATGGTCCACGTTATATATATTTAAAAACACAACCCACTTTTTCATCTACTAGTAATCAAATGCTCCAATATCTCGCTAATAATCAGTTCTTCATGGCCAAAATTGTTCTAATTCTGAAATAATAAATGTATGTTTGATTGATTCACCTTACATTCATATAAGCTTGTCTTTTATTTCTTATGCATGCACAAGATAGTCCAAAAATCATGTATTAACTCAATGTAATATTGAAATTTCCCAAAGTGTAAGGATTCAATTTTTAATTTCCCTCATAACTTTATTAGCCTTTCAATATATTAAATTTATATTGGTATTATTTCCTTTAATGATATTATACACTTGTATTTTCCGTAAATTAGAAAAAAAATTCATTTATCTTTTTAGAAATAATTCTCTAATGGTAGGCGAAAATAAAACAAACACTTAAGCATATCAATTCAAAAATTACAGATGATACTCCGTAATTTTAGCAATTTAAGAAAAGAAATACTCGTAAAGATAACGGACAGAAATCAATCTAAAACCTGAAATATAAAAAAAGATAAAAATTTAGAGCAGAACAACTATGGATTTATAAAAAAATTGTAGTTAAAACTTTTTAAAATTACATGTACCTTTACTTCGATGATCAGAGTACTTGTGTGTAGGATCGGAATGTTTACTGTGGAGTCTTTTTAATTCGTGGGGGTCAATGTTCTTGGGAAAGGATTTTTTTTGGTTCGTGGGAACATGATTTCGTGGGTAACAATTGTATACAAAAGATTCCATAAATCAATAAATTGACAAAATAAATGTTCGTAGGGATGTAAATTTGAGGATAAGGGTGACCCTAAAAATCCTCGAAGATCTGTCCCCCACAAACATTGATGTCAATTTACAAAATAAATTTTGAAATGACCAGTGACAAATTAAAAAAAATATGAGACTGTTTTCTTTTATTTAAAAGAAAAAAAACTTCCTACAATATTCAAAATATAGTTTTTTTTAATTTTTTTTCCAGGAGAAGTGTTGACAGTTTTGACGTTACGTGATTTCAAATCTTGTAAAATTTCCTTGGAATTTTGAAATATCAAAAAAAGTACTTAAAATTTACACCATTTCTATACATACCATCGTAAAATACTCTTTCTCCTTTACCACTGTTAGTTATTTAACTGAGGATTGAAGAAAGAAGTTCGTTTTGTAAAATTATGAAGCAAGTTGAGTTTCCTCTGAATTCTAACCCATTCCATACAAGAGATTTAAATTCTTCCTTTTTTAACTACCCAGGTGTTAGATCAGCAGTGATGAGGTTCAGGACTTTAATTGTAGAAGAACAAGGACACCTAAGAGGTCTATGTATCAATTAGACACCTAGTCATCACTAGGCTGGTTATTTTGTAACTTTAAATTTGGAAGCTATAGGCGATGCATATTTGTAAGTTATACAGGATGATGACTTCGTGTCACCTTCACATATCCCTTGCAAGTGAATCAAAATATTGGGCTTTTAGAGGTACCCTGAAAAACCGAGTCCCTTTGTTAATGAAGACTTTGTCACACATAAAAATGGCACTTTGTGTTCATGAAAAGTCTAGAAGGGACTTGAGGAAGTTCTAACTGCACACTAAAGAGTTCTAATCGTAGGGTGGTTTTATGCTGTTAGAGTGATCTGCTTTTAGAGTGAGATCTTTTTTTTAAAAAGGTATTTGCAGTTAATTACACAATTTATAATTGAATAAAATATGCTTAACGTTATATTAGACGAAGAATAAGTTATTAAATTAAATATTTCCATTAATTTTCCCATTGTAAGTAAACATCGGTGATTTTTGTTCATGCATAGCCCTTTGTCTTTGAGCATTTTTGCGTGCAGAATCAGGGTTTGTACCCTATGTTGAAAATGAATAACTAGGTAAATTGTCTGAATATGTACACCTTGATATGATATATATTTTTTCCAAGTCCAAAATGCACATTTCGTGAGTGTTTAGAGCTTCCTCAAAACAAAATCAACAAGTCATTAATGAAATGAAAGGATTTATTCTTAAAAGATCCAATATATTTTTGTTTCATTTCATAGGTATTAAAATGACAAAATGTACAAATATACGACAAAAACACAATTGTAAAAATAAGAGAATGATTGTAATATTTAATAATAATATAATGATTTAAACAATGATTTCCTACACTAAACATTTGATACACAAAGTGAAGGTAAAACAATAAAAACAATAATTAGATAATTCTATTTAACGCCAAGATTATAGTTTAACTTAGAACTGTCTTGTAACACATGTTCAAAATTCTTTTTTAATATATTCCATTGTATCCTTATCAAAACGAATTTGTCTTCCTTTCACGAATATCCTTGTTTTCCCATACACGCTGCAGAAAAATAAAGCTTTTGTATTGGCATCATTGTTCTTTAATATTCTATGTAAGATTCTTTACTTTTATCTATTTTTTTTTAAATATACTGTATAAGAAGAGAAAGCCTTTATGACATTTTTTTTCACTTTATTACAATAAATGCACAACATTATCAAGGTTTTTTTTAGTAGAAATAATGGACTTCATGCTATATACCGTTTGCTTTAGGGATTACTAACAATGAGTGTATGGTAAAAACTGGTATGCTTAATGGTATGCTAACTAAAATACCGATTTATAAAAGGAAGTATTCTTATGTTATAAGAAAATATGATTTTGATATTTATTAACAATAAAATTATCCGTAAAGGAATACAATGTAATCAGGAGATAAAAGATTAAAAAAAACAAGAAAAACATCCTTTTGAGATATTTACAGACCTTGACTTCATTCAGCTCTTGTATGATTTTATTAATCTATAAAAAGTAAAAAAAAGGATCATTTAAATATTATTCAAGTTATATCAAAATGTTAAATTGTCTGCATTAGTTGATTAATCAAAGTTTACTATTCAGTATTCTTCATTTTTGTGATAATTTATAACCGTAGCAAATCAGTAAAAGTATTTGTAATAATTTATTCGAACCGACAATTCACCTTTAAATATAAAATATATAGCCTGACATCCTTAAGATTTGCAAGACGATAAATATTCTAAGCCTATATCATCTTGAAATATTTGATATGCTGCATATTGACTGACAGCCTTTATATGCATCTTAATAAAATTTAACAATCGCATTAAGGTACATTGATACTCTGATAAGAGAGATAACTCTTAAGGACACATTGATACTCTGATAAGAGAGATAACTCTTAAGGACACAAATGTCTATTATTCCTTTATAAATTTGTTAAGTTTAAGTGCCTTTTTTGTCAACTTTTGCCCCGCAAGCCATGCTATAATTGTTTGTATTTTATTCAGCATATACATTTCCTTTGGAAAATCATAAAAGTTAAAGAAAATTTTCATATGAGTGAGCAGAGGGTTTATGAACCTTAAGGTATTCAAATTACTGTAAAAAAGGTACTTTTCACGTGCTTTGTTTTCCTTTCTTCGAAGAAATCATGTCCTTTATGTATATCTTTTATGAGAATACTTTAAACTGTGTAATCATGTTTGCATACCAGGACAACTCTTTCATTTTGAACACAAATTTATATATCTTTTGTTCAAACCACAAAAATTGGTCCTCAAGAATAAATTATAATGAATTGTTATAAAATACATCACCTTTTTGTCAACTTCTTCATCTGGAGGCTTTTGAAAAAAGAAAAAAATGGTAGCATTGTAATTTGAAATTCACTAAGAATATTCAATGTATTTGAATTCAGAATAGCTTTATTTCATACAAGAAAAATATATATTTTCGACTAAAGAAATCAATACGTAGCCATCTCTTTTTTATCTGATGTTATTTTGAAAGAGAGTTTGCAATTGCAACATATTTCCGTAGCTCTTCAAAACTATATGATAATCACGTTGACTCCAGGCAAAATAAATAACTGTAAGTCTTTTTTGAGATTAAGATTTTTCTGATATATAATGAATAAGCATGATTAATTTTTCTTAAATTCCAGCTCAAAAACCAAAGCCCCTATACACTAAATATAACAAGGCCAAAGAATTGCAGCATACTCAGCAGATAATTTATTCAGGTAGTTTATATCTTGGATTTACGTTATGGAGAAACTGAAAAGTTCCCCGTAAGTGGAAAGCACTACATTACTGAAGCTTAAAGAGAGAATTCATGATAAAAGATTACATAGAAGACAATTCACCATATTTTACATTGGTTTGATTGGGTTAAATTATGTAAAAGTGCGAGTTCGTAATTAGTGAAGAATTGTCTTTTTCTATGATAAACAACTTTGAGTAATGATAAAGCACAGATTCATTCAAGAAATCATATCCTTAACGATTACTGCACTTTATTCACCATGCATATACCTTGCAGTTAATTTGATGACCATCTTCTTCGGTGTCACTTTGTCCAGATATGATATTTTGCTAAAAGGGTAGAAAAACAAAGAATTTCTAAAATCTGAAATTTAGAACAAAATAAAAGAAGATATTTTTATTAATGATAGAACAAACATTATTCATATTTGCATATGGATAAATAGAATAATTTAGAGGTTTAAAAACTATCAAACCTTTGGAGATTTGTGTTTTTTTGGTAATGTTTTGGATTGCCTTAAATGTCATTCTTTTTCAGAAAAAAGGTTTTAATTCTAATACCTCTATCGATTTTTCCTCAAAATCTTCATTTTCTCGTTCTCTGCAACAAATTCGTTAAAAATGTAATCATTGTTTCAAATTTATTCGACTCTTTTTCCACTTCTTAAAGCACGCATGTAGAAAGTTATACTTCTATAACAATTTATAAACAAAATACCCTTGCATTTCCAGAATTCCGTTCTTTTCGGCCATTTCCTCGGGTGTTTCTTTCTGGGGATCAACATCAAAATTATCATCGAACACGAGAACTATCAATAGAAACATATAGAGATAACAAACTGTATTCAAGCTCAAAAATTCATTCAAGCAATACAAAATTGATGGTAAGGGTACACTGCTGCATAAGTAAGGAAAGTTGAGGATTGAAATGTTGAAACCATCACATTTATCGTAAAGCTTTGTTTTTATGTTACCATGAACGATTTTTTCTTGTAACATACCCAAATATGACAGAGATCTGTCGCACACTATTTTATTGTTTATTTCAAGCTCTCTGGGGTATATTGTGTCAAAGTAACATGTACATAAAAATAATAATTGTTAATTGACAAAATATTGTTGAATTGAAGGCTACGACAAGTGATTTCTTTTTCATGTATAAGATTTTGGATACATTCTGTTTCAAATGGATAGAAAAATAAGTCTGGTCACTAAGGAGTCCAAGTACTTATGCAATAATTAAAAATAACAATGCCATTTGAAAATGCAACTATATATAAAATATTAATACTAGAAATATAAATTCGAAACAAGTTTACTTTGTTGAGTAAGTCAAACATAAAGGACAACATTTGATTTAAAATGGCACAAAAATGTATATATTTAATTGGTAAAATGTTTTGTTTTTTATATGATTTTTTTTGATTTATAGTAAACGAAATCTTTTGAAAATGAAAATTATGCAATACTGGCCAGTGCATGGATATTTTTGTGCAAATCACTGAAACAAACATTCATAAAAACAATGAGCAGAAGATTATAATGTGTTATGATGTTATGCATGTGTTTTGCATGTTTTCAATTTTATGCGAGTTGAACAACTAAAGAAAGCAATTTTAATTTCATACACATACCTTTTATAAATAATGCCTGCTCCTCACGTTGTATGCCATACATCTTCATAACAATGTATATCAGAAGATGAAAGACTAGTGCTCCTAAGCAGCAAATCTTGAAGTGAACAGGAAATATTGTTCTAATTTTGTACTCTTCAAGGAAATTTGATTGTAATTGTGACCAGTATATTCTTGATTTGTCATGTACAGAATCCGATGTTTTCCTAATTAAATAAAATTATGTTCGTATTATACATGTATGTTCCGGTGTGCTTAGCAGAAGTTTACAAAATTACAAAGCGATATTCTAACAAGAGATCACATAATACTGTATAATTACTTTTGTTCACGAAATATATATTTTAAGGTCTGCATACTGCATGTACTGTCACAATTTTCCATGGTAATTTGGCTCAATTAACTTTGATTTCATGTAAATCATATATATGAAGTCAGCAGGTTAATCACAAAAATCTGCGCAATTTTCTACCTTTAAGTCGAACAGAAATCGTGTTTCTCCAGAAATCATAATGATCCATTGTTCAAAATGTAGGTTTAAAGTAAAAAGAAGTCACATACGTGTAAATTGCTATCAGCATGTTCAGTAGCATCAAGATAGCGATTAAACAGTATATTGCCCTCAGGTAAGGAGACAAAAGAGCTCCCAGAAAGGAGGGACATCTTTGTTGTATGCCCTGCGAATAAAGTGTGGCATTGTCTGTGCAGTCATTACCTAAAACAAAAAATGTGCCTTATTCACACTGTAATTCCTCCGACTTTTGACAAACATACACTCATTGAATAACAATGAAAATTCATTAAACAATTTAATGCACACTGTCAACAAGGAAAAGGAATAAATCAAATCAAATGACGGAGCAAAGTGAATTCAAAACTGGATCAGTAATCCGTAGAATATTGTGTATAAAAGTAATGACCTATCATTGTTTGAAAACACCAGTCAATATTCGACATTTGTCCAATCAGGCAAAATGGCCTGTGAGAGAATCGGGGATGGGATTGGACTTTAAGGAGCGAGAATCCATTGACGACTGATCATGCCTGCCCTGTACTCTTTGTAAAAACTCTTTGAAAAATAATGCCCTAACTATTTGGACAACTCTTCAACATTAATAGTTATGTAGATACTTAGAGGGGTAATGCAGAAATATGTAGTGTCCTTGAAAAAATGCATATTGGACCAGGCGTAAGGATTTTTTCAAGGACATCACATATTTTCGTATTAACCCTCTAAGTGTCTACATAACGAATGTATCCTACCGATGATTCTCTGAAAGACTAAATACTTATAGTCCCGATATATTGCTATTACTAGGAGACTTTGCATATGTTGTGTTGATGATGTTGTCTTACGCAGTTATGAAGGTCCATGCAGAGTTACACGAAAACAGTATATTAATGATGTGTGGTTATATTAATGATGTGTGGTTGGTAAATTTCACGGAAGTTTGATACATGGTTTGTAGATCACTTGGAGGGAACACATTACCAGCAATCTAATGTTGGTAGACGACATAACATCGTTAAATACAGTATTGCTCTCAGCCAAAGAAATTTCAAGATTTTTATCAGATGCAGGATAAAGGGATGTATTTACATTATACTAGTAGGCCCTTGTATTAACCACAAGATTTGAAACATGTTTTAGTAATACTATTTATATTTCTTGATAATCAACGTATTAAGATATATTGCAAATAGAAATAAATAACTTTGCCAAAAGAAAATTTAAAGTTACTATATTTATCAGGGTATTTAATTGTTAGTCTGCTATCAACCTCTTTTTTGTAAAACATCTTCGGAACCTGTAAGAAAAATACATTTTTAAAATTCAGGTTAAAGCATACCAACATCTTCCTGAAAGTCACCATAAAGCGTCCAATAACCATTTCTGACAATGTTTTCTATTTCCGTCCATGTGAACTCAGTGTTTGGATACAGGAGAGCATAGTCCACCACGTTGTAACACATCATTATAACGATCATAATCGTCATGAAGGCAGATGTTATCTTTATCTGTGAGAAAATGTACAGCAAAATCGAATGAAAGGCCATAGATATTGATTTGTAGGGCTTTCATGTCTTTATTGATATAAAGTTTCAAATTTACTCATTTGTGGTAGAATATGAATTTCTTTCATTATATTCACCATTGTCCACAAAGAAACAAAAACAAATATCACAGAGAAAAATAAGTGTTTTGTATTATTTTAGTTACAGTAATCATATCTATAACGTGTTAGTAAATAAAGCAATCACTTGAGTCCTCTGTTATAAATGAAATAAATTAATATTGACCTTTTTCTGAATTATAACAAGCTGAGAACCAAGGAACTCTGACGTCCAAAACATGTTAAGTACCCGGATGTTTAGCATGATATAGGAGATCAGAAACATAATCTTTGCAAACCCTTGGAGAAAGTCATCCTCAAACAATAACTTAACAATGAATCCAAGAAACGATGTTAAAATTATTATTAGGTCGAGGCGATTCCACATGTCCTGGCCGTATTCCAATAAGAAACTTTTTTCTCTCTTTCTTTTAGTGTCACGATAAACTGCTACACATATCTGAAATTATGTATTGTAACCTTTACTTAAATTTGGCGTGAAAATGACAAATTCTTAAGAGATTTATCAGCACATCATTTGTTTTGGAATATCCATGTAGTATAATCCAGTGGTATTTGGAGCTTGCACAATGACCCGAAAAACACAATCGTCATTAGTTCTCTGAACAATCAATATTCTTCATGCATAAATTAATTTTTGTCATACTTATTATTGATTGATTTTTTTGGTTCATTGATGCTTTGATAAGAAATGAAAATGCTATGAAATATGAATTTATCAAGCTTTAATGTTCTTTTTGTTCTCTTTTGCCTTTCAGGGTACGTATGTTATAAATTTTTACTGAGCAATATATTTAGCATAAATTTTATGCTATTATTCTTAAAGATTTGATTAAGATATATATTTACTTTGGAAAATTTAGAGGGTTTTGGTACATTTTTAAATGAGTTTACAAAAAAATTATGAACATAAAAGAAAAAACAAATTAGATACATTTTAATGTATCACGATTTTATCTTAGGCTAATGTTTAGTAGACTTTTCAGCACTCCGTCTGAACATATTGTATCAGTAGATAGGTGAAAAAATTATTTTTTGAAAACTTTTCAATTTCAATGCTAATGTTTAGAATTATATTTTTCAGATTACAAATGAAAAAAAATTAAATAATCAATAGTAGCAGGCAAAAAGAAGTTTTGAGTTTGGCCATTTTAGGTAGTCGGTCGGTGGAGGGCAACAAAACTTTTTTTTTCAATCATGACCCTAATCTTTATATCTTGCTCTTTTTTTAAATTGAAAATAAGAGAAAACAAAGCAACGCCTTTCGTGTCAATTACGTTTATTGAGGGTTTTGGAGCTCTCCGATAAATAGTCCTTAAAAACAATATATAATTTTATTCGTTTTTTTCGTATGTACACGTACTTGTCCTTTTTATTTATCAAAAATTGTAAAATGTAAATCTTATATATCTTAAACTGTTGCTTAGCCTGTCCTATTATTGTTTTAGTAAAAATCAATAAGCATAAATAAAACTACACATGCCTGGTGAAATTCATCCACAGACTTATTCAAAATCCAAAACAGCACAGCAAATTCTGATTGAGATACACCATTTTCCTTGTAGTCAAACAAAAGCATGTAAGCAAATGCTGCCAGAAACGACATTAGCCCAGCCTAAATGCAAACATATCACGTACTTATTATAAAACACATAATTTTGAAATATGTCTTGAATTTCTGAATCTAGCAAAAAAGAAAGTTCGTACCGTGTTAATCCATAATTTCAAAATAGGCGTGTGATATTTTTTGTAAATCCTGAAATTAAAAATGAAAAAAAAAAAAAAAGAAATACAAATGCAATCTTAAGAACAGTTGTTTTTAATGGTAGCAGAAATGTACACATTGCAATATTTTTTATATTTTTTCACAATTATAATTTGATTGAAAACATTTGGAATCCAAATATAAGTTTATCATGTTATTAAATTCTAGCACTGGAAGTTGCCTAATTGAACAATTATATATACCCGGTAGTTGACTTTTTTGCTTTCAAAAACATTAAGTCAAAGCTATAGTGATGTGAAAGCATTAGTTAATGAAAAAATAGTATGTTTTTCTGAAACATTTAATCAATAATTTTTACGAATCTTAAATAAAATCATTAACCAAACTTTATTATATATTTGATTAAGTGTGAAATAGAGTGCTAGAAATAAATAAATGAATAAATAATGAATGTGAACAATAATTTTCTTTTACAAAACCTATTGTATCCTAGTGTTTAAGAATGCTGGGTGTCGGTGGCCATGTTAAGACTAGATTGATATATTTTCGAAGTAGAGTTTCGTATAAAGATACACAAAAGTGATAAAATTGTAAAACATAAATGTACATTTTTTTAACTTGGCCAAATGATGGTTGAAAGCTAAAGACATCATATTAAAACATTAAGTTAAATCTGATGATTTATTTGATGACCCCCAGCCTCCCTAAAATCCATATTCGCGACATTTCTAACATCGGAGTTTTACGAAGGTATTGAATGAGTCTTCCCTGAATCATTTTTATATAGGAGAAATCCATTTGTCTTTGAAATATGACCTTAAAATCCTTTGTTCCGCTTCAAAGAAGGTAAGGACATGATAAGGAAAAATGAAATGCAAGGGTCCAATATAAAAGGTTTGAATTAAAAGTCAAATATATTAAATAAGATAAGGTAGTTTATATGTACCATGAGGGCTTATCCAAGGTAAAAAGCATGATTGGCATGATGAAAACATGCATGATGCACAAAAACAGTCTGAGAATCTGTAAAGAGGAAAAAAAATCTAAATGAATTAACTCATAAATCAAGTATAAAATTTTATTCTATAATTATCTTTCTGTGAAAAAGGATTTGATTGTTTGTCCCTATCACATCATACTGTGAAATAACGATTTTTCGTAGATATTTAAAATTTTTGTTTGTGAAAGGACCAACGAGCTCATCTCCACCAGAAAATATAAAATATAATTTCTCCTGCAACTACATGTACCCCTTGCATTGACCTAATAAAGGAAACCTAATAAACTAAAGCTTTTTTCGGTCACTGCCCTACTAAAGCCTCGTGCATGTATTCAGACGTTCTAAAGCATTGCGACATATATTGCAATATTTACGCCATTGCTTCATAGTTTCAACTGCAAAGATGTATCAAATTTGTTGCTAGTTTTGGGCGTTCAAATGTAAAAATTATGTTGCAGGATAAACAGAATACATGATAGCTGCCTTAAAATATAAGCGACATTTGGACTCGGGTTGAAAACATGAAAGAGATCTCGGCAAGCCTCGCCCTCTATCACGTTTTCTTTCCCTCGCCCAAATATTGCTTATATTTCAAGACAGTAACCATGTATTTTATATATACATGACAAATCATCACCTCAAAAAGCAAAGAATATAATGCCCATGAGTCAATTCTCTTTTCTCTACCAACTTCCTATCTCGACATGGGATGCCAATTCCTTGTTTGTTTATTACTTTCAGACCATGCAGTGGTATTTAGATACTATGGCACCTGATCCCACTATTGATGTTTTAGAGACCCGCGTTTGTTCTGCTTCAAAATTTGTATTGTGTAATGGACTTATAAGCCTTTTCGTTATCACCAAATTTTTCACTTCTATAAGTACAGGGATAAAGAAAAAATCATTTCAATACTTGAAGAACCAATTGTCTTATGAATATAAGTACATACAGTATCTATTTTCCTCCTCGACTGATACTCGTCCCCATACCAGAGTTCTTTGATCATAGTCTTCAGTTTGGGATTTTCCAGAAAACATTCATTTTTTGTTTTATATGCAACATCTAAATAACCATGATTCAGAAGTAGTCTCCCAGCTTTGCCAGACACCTCATCCTCTTTGATGAAGAAATGTTTTATATTGTTTACCCAACCTTTTGGACTTCTTAGTCTTTCCAGTTCGTCTTTCTCTTGGATGTAATTCATGATGCTAAAAGCATGTTGACTGAATTTTCTGAAAGAAGAACAATTTGGTTTTAAATGGGGTTTTTAAACAGATAAAACATTTCAAATGTTCCATAACGTCCCAAACCTATAAACTTACAGACTTATAAAAACCACACCAAGTTAACAAAAGTACGGAAGCCCATTTAGGACCTATCAAAAATATTTTTGAATTCGTTATAACGATTTTTAGAATTCGTTATAACGAAATTAATTTGTTATAACAGATTTATTGAATTCGTTATAACGAAATTAATTTGTTATAACAGATTTATTGAATTCGTTATAACGAATTTAATTTGTTATAACAGATTTGTTGAATTAATTATAACAAATTCTTTAATTTGTTATAAGGAATTAAATTCGTTAAAACGATTCAAAAATTTGTTATAACAAATTTAATTCGTTTAAACAAATTCTTAAGCTTGTAATAACAAATTAAATTCGTTAAAATATATTCCAAAGTTTATTATAACATATTAAATTCGTTTGATCGATTTCAATAATCAGGATCTATAGAAAAATATATATGAATTCGATATTACGATTTGCGGAATTCGTTGTAACGAATTTAATTCGTTATAACAAATTATGGAATTTGTTTAATTGAAGTCGATTCGTAATATCAAGTTTTACAATATGTTAAAACGAGTTTAATTCGTATAAACAATTTTTTGAATTCGTTATAACAAAATCAACAAATTTGTTATAACAGATTAAATTCATTATAACGAATTCAAAGAAATTGTTATAACGAATTAAATTCGTTATAACAAATTCGACAATTAGTTATATCGGATTCAAAAATATTTTTCGATAGGTCCTAAATAAGCTTCCGTTCAAAAGAGAGCAGATTAATTGTTTACTTTACTTTAAGGATGCTTCAAAAGCCTACCGTGTGTTAAAAAAATTTATTCGTTTTCTTTAACTTATACAACCAATCAATTTACCAAAAATGACGACGCTTATGAATTTCTATATATATGATAGATATTTTAGCTATTTGAGAAAGGCTTAAAGTATTCAAAAGTTACAGCATTTGAATAAACTATGATTTAAAAGTACTTAATACCTACATTGCCAAATCCTCAAAATCCTTTTTTTCAGTCTCCGAAATTCTCCATTCCTCTGTGTGTTTGACTAATATCTTAGCCCCAATCAATATTGATCTAACACCAACCTGTTCATCAATGAATTATTATTTAAAGTAAATATGATTTAAATATATATGGAAAATATGATAAGAAGTTATGAAATAATAAAATATTAAAGTGTTGTTCTATTTCAATGTTTTAGTTTCAAATTGCTAGTAGTTTGCTGTAGTCTAGTCAATAGTTAGATGAGGTTAGACAACAGATGACTTGCGCATCAACTTTAGTGAAACTAGCAGGTTTTTTTTTTTAGAAGAGACCCTAAAAACCGAGGCCCCAGGTGTAGGTACAATAAAGAACCCCCATTTCGCAATAGCCCTGAGCGCCCAAGTTTTTCTTAGGTATACAGCAAAACTCGTTTAGTACGAACACGGATATTGCGAATTTACGGTTATAGCGAAGTCATCTTGGAGGACCAGGTATATAAATTTATTGACTTTCTTATACGGTTATAACGAATTACGGATATGGCGAAGTAATTTCAAAGGTCCCAGTGACTTCGTTATAACCTAGTTTTACTGTATTATGACGCCTTCAAATGAGTGAAACATTCTCGAATAGGACTTAAGCAACATACAAGCAATCATACTCAGCTCTGTTGAATAATGGAAGCCAATAACATATTTCATAATTCAAAATCGAATAAAATACAGTTTACTCAAGTTAAAATTAAACACACATGTACTACATTATTGCAATTCCAATGTAAAGAAATATGCACCAACTATAATTTATACTGTATGCGATTTGAAAACAATGGTAAAGGATGATTGTAAAAGATAATTAGTTAATTCATTGTAATTATAAATGTCGGAACTATTGAAACTATCTAACAGGCATCGTATTTATTCACTCATGTTTGAAAACTATCAAAATTGTTAAAGATTAAAAATAATTAGTCGCGGAAATAGGGGGCCCTGATAGCAGGTACATGTATGACACATCATCCTTTCAGTACATGTTTACTTTTTACCTAGTTTGACTATTTCATTTTTGTGAATAAGCAAACAAATTACATGTAGATGGATTGGTTACTGACACTTGATGAAATATTAATTAGAAATATGCTGTTATAGGTAGTGATAATAGTAAAAAGGAATCAAATGTGAAGGCATTATACGTTTTTTATAACCTGAAATATGTTTTACTTAACATGGACTTAAACGCAGAAAAGGGTATAAAGATCAAATATCAGATCATTTATCCCAGAAAATAACCAATATTTGCATATAATTCTTTTTCAAAAAATCTGAATCTGAAACAAATACTTACACAACCCTTTTCTATAAGTTGTGTTCCTCCATCTAATCGTTTCTTTTTTAAAAGGGCAAAAAACACAAGATCCACCCCTGCGCAATCTTTTGTGAGTATCAGCTGAGAATCTAGAACAAATGAAGCAGTTTGTATTAGGAAGTATCGTAGGTGAAAATTTTTTTTATTTTTAGACAGATTAATAGCTAACATAATTTTCACGATAATGCTTATTCAAGCTAGACATTCTAGTGGATTTAAATGTTTTGTTATGGGTCAGAATAACCCTAAATGCCAGCAAAGATCAATAACAAAATTTAAACTTAACAATAATTTATTTACAGTAATATATAATAAGTATATCAAACATAAAGTACAAACTTAGCAAGAATCTAAAAATACATACATCAGAGTGTCCGTTGCTGCACACAATGTCCCAGTGAAAATATATCCCATTTATATCTCAATAGTGCTTATACGACAAAGTATTCACAATTATTCTATATGCATTGAATTGACAGGGTATTTATACAGTATTATAAATCTAGAATATTCTAGAAATTGTTAAAACATGATATTACTGGAACAATCTGGACATATACAAAATTTAAGAATGTTCTAGATAAAATGACCAAACATGTTGACCACTCTGGAATGTTCAAGAAACTTAATGTTACTAATTATATACATAATGAAACAATACACATCTCACAACACCTCCCCCCCCCCCCTTAAAAAGTTTGAATGTCAATGAAAAACTTAAATTGTAAAACATGTACATTAATACAAAATCTAGTATGTTTACGATACTCTTGACAAGGCGTCTGCAATAACATTGTCTTTGCCTTTGATATGCTTAATTGTTATGTTGTATTCTTGTAACAACAAACTCCATCTAGTCAGTCTTTGATTCTTGTTTGACAATTTATGCAAAAATGTCAGGGGGTTGTGATCAGTATACACAAGAATTGGATGCAAAGTAACATTCAAATAAACATCAAAATGCTGTAAAGCTAACAACAAAGCAAGGCATTCTTTTTCAATAGTAGAATAATTTCGTTGACATTTTGTAAGTTTCTTTGAAAAATAAGAAACAACTCTATCTACATTATCACTATGTTCTTGAAACAAAGCTGCCCCGATTCCAACATCACCAGCGTCAACAGTAAGCTTAAATTGCTTGGAAAAATCTGGAGTTGACAGAACTGGGTTGCTCATAAGGACAGATTTGATTTTATGAAAGGATTTTTCACAGTCCTTTGTCCATTCAAAGTTAACCCTCTTTTGTAAAAGATTTGTAAGTGGACTAACTACTGAGGAAAAATTTGGACAAAATTTTCTGTAAAACCCAGCCATGCCCAAAAACCTCATTAATTCTTTCTTGTTTGTAGGAATAGGGAACTTTGCAATAGCTTCCACTTTAGCCATTATGGGTGTAACATAACCTTGACCTACTTTATGACCTAAATACTCTACATAAGCATGACAAAATTCGCTCTTCTCAAGATTCACAGTTAAGTTTGTTTTAGCTAAAATGTCAAATAAAGCACGCATGATTCGGAGATGTTCGTCCCATGTGTTGCTGTATATGATGACATCATCAATGTAGGCCTCGCAACCCTCAAGGTCTTGAAGAAGGGAATGAATCATCCTTTGGAATGTAGCCGGTGCGTTTTTCATGCCAAAAGGCATTACTTTATACTGGTAAAGTCCATCTGGTGTAGCAAAAGCAGATATTTCTTTTGCTCTTTCTGTTAACGGTACTTGCCAGTAGCCTTTCAACAGGTCAAATTTACCGACAAATTTCGCATTTCCAATGTTGTCAATACAGTCATCGATTCAGGTATTGGATATGAATCAGTTTTGGTAACAGAATTCACCTTTCTAAAGTCTGTACATAATCGGTAAGAACCGTCCTGTTTTGGTACAAGAATACACGGTGAGCTCCAATCACTTTTACTAGGTTCAACAATGTCATTGTCCAACATGTACTGCACTTCCCTTCTTAGGTACTGCAATTTTATTGGATTCAGACGGTACGGATGTTGTTTGATAGGCAGAGCGTCGCCAACTATAACATCATGACAAGCTGCATTAGTTTTCTTTGGAACATCCGAGAAGATTTGATGATACTCATTCATCAAGTTTTTAACTTGTTCTTTTTGGTGAATGTTCAAATGTCCAAGTTTGGCATCAAAATCAGCCAAAATTTCTGAGTTTTTCAAACGAACACTCTGATTACAATCTTTCTCATTCATTTCTACACTCGTATCACTTTCAATACAATTTTGAACAGTCTTAGCATTGGCTAAAGTGGAAACTGGTTTTACAGAATTTCGGTCACACCTTTCAAAATACTCTTTTAACATGTTAATGTGACAAACCCGTTTCTCTTTACGTCGACCTGGTGTCTTAACTACATAGTTTACATCACTGATCTTGCTTTCAATTTCATAAGGGCCATAAAATCTGGCCTGTAAAGGATGACCAGGAATAGGTAAAAATACAAGAACCTTATCACCTGGCTTAAACACCCTATTTCTGGCATCTTCAGCATTGTTTTTAGGGTTTGATGAAAACGTTCTAGCGCTCCCTGGGACTCAGGATGATAAGCAGTTGATCTATATTGCCTTATACCCAACTCATGCATGACTTGCTGGAACAACCCCGACATAAAATTTGAGCCTTGATCCGACTGAATTGCCTTGGGTGCTCCTACAAAACTGAAAAACTTGGTTAGGGCCTTAACTATGCTCTTTGCCTTTATATTCCTTAGAGGTATGGCTTCAGGAAATCCAGTGGATGTACACATAATGGTAAGTAAATACTGGTTTCCAGATCTGGTCCTAGGCAAAGGTCCTACACAATCCACTAATACTCGACTAAACGGTTCTTCAAAAGCTGGAATGGGTTGGAGAGGAGCAGATGGTATCTTCTGATTTGGTTTACCTACCATCTGACAGACATGGCATGACTTGCAAAACTTCGAAACATCCTTTCTTAGCTTAGGCCAATAAAAATGACTCAAAATCCTATTATAAGTCTTATTGACACCTAAATGACCTGCCATAGGTGTATCGTGAGCTAAACTCATGACATCTCGACGATAAGCAGCTGGGACCACTATCTGGTGAACAACACGCCACACTTCATCTGGAGAAGCATCAGGTGGTCGCCATTTTCGCATAAGGATGCCATCTTTCATATAGAAGCATTCTCCAACTTTAGTAGCCTCTTCTGGTGGAAGTGCCCTCTTACTAAGTGGAATGATATCTGGGTCTTTATGTTGTTCAGAGAGTAAACGTTCTCGGCTGAGGATGTCCTTGCCTTTGCTAACTAGTGGATGCAACTCATCATCCTCACCACCAAATTTTGGTAACAGTTCTTTCTTCTCTTGCTTCTTGATATTGTGTGGTTCCATGTTTGTTTGAGTGCCATTAAGGTCAGATAAGAAAGTGTCATTCAAATCAATATCAACAGAGGAATTCGTCTCGTCAAAGGCTTGAGTATGGTCTGCCTCCATTTCTCGTCTTCTGGCCATCGCTCTAGTAACAGCACAGGCTGGATAAATGTCATCATCTACATCATTATACATGACATCTGGAGTGATCTTCTCACAAACTATAGGATCTGGTACAACTTTTCCACCAGCCAGATCGTTGCCTAACAACAAAGAAATGCCTGGAACGGGAAGAGTAGGTCGAACACCTACGATAACAGGTCCAGTAACTAAATCTGACTTCAAACTAATTCTATGCAGGGGAACATTAATGACGCCTAGCTCCACACCATGTAATAAAACTGACCCACCAGTAAAAGTCTGCTCAGACAAAGGAAGCACGCCCTCTAACAATAACGTCTGTGCAGCACCAGTATCTCTCAAAATCTGGACAGGTTTAATTTCGCTAGAGTCACCGAGTGAAACAAATCCCTGAGACATAAAGGGCTTATAATCCTCCATAGAATCAATAGAACTGGACTGTGAACCCTGGACATCAGGAGTGTCAGAACAATTCGAAACTAAGGCTTCTCTATCACCTCTAACTGCCGCACAAGCATGTGGTTGAGTTTTATCAAAATCATTTTTTCTCTTAAGTTTAAAGCATTCACTGATCAGATGACCCTTTTTCTTACAATAACTACAAGTAGGAAGCGACCCTATTCCAGACGATCCTTCAACACGTCCTGAACCGGACTTAAAACCACCTTGGGATGGAGACTGGGAACTTGTGAAAGACTGAGACCCTGAACCACTCTTTTTATATGTGTCTGAATTGGTAGAATTACTGCTAGTCTGAAATCTTGAAACAAAATTTTTATCAAGTTTCTTAGATCTAAACCAGTGATCGAATAAATCTTCTTTCTCTCGTGAAAATTCAACAAATGTTTGATTATCAAACTTTCTATACTTTCTGAACTTTTGTCTATACGCTTCAGGTACTAATTCATATGCTTTTAATATTGCTGCTTTGACCTTCTCATAGTCTGAACTTTCAGCTACCTCTAATGCAGAGTATACCTCAGCCGCTTTTCCAACCAGTACACTTTGTAACATTGTTGACCAAACATTTCGTGGCCATTTAAGATTCTCTGCTACCTTTTCGAATTGTGGAAAATATTTGTCTACAGATTTTTCTTGAAATTTTGGAACTAATCTGATATTTTTTGCTGCGTCAAATTCAGTTTTGACAACTGACGGTTCTGGTTGGTTCTGTAATTTTAATTTCTCTAATTCAAAGTTCATTTCACGCTCTCTTTCTCGCTCTTGTCTTTCTCTTTCTCGCTCTTGTCTTTCTAATTTGTCTAATTCAAATTTTCGTTCACTCTCTCGTTCTTCTCTTTCTCTTTCTAATTTTTCTCTTTCAAATCGCATTTTCTCTAACTCTAATTGAAACTGATATTCTGCCATTTTATAAGAGCCTAACTCTGATTTAACTGTATATTCTGGAAGATCGTATTTTTCAAAGATGTTTTCTTCTACTAGTTTGTTTGCAACCTTAATTCTAATGTCTTGCTTTTTCTGAGAGGATTTAACATCTAACCCAAAATGCAAACATAATGCGATCAAGTCATCCTTTTTTAACGTATCAAAAACCTGAACACTTGGTGAACTAAGAAAGTCTGTGACCGAAAACACCATGTTGATTTCTGCTGGCTTATAATTAAATTTAAGGTTCAATTAACAAAAATTCTGACAATAAACTGCAAAAGTGCAAGAAATTCTTTATCCCGGACGAGCCCGAAATTCTGTTATGGGTCGGAATAACCCTAAATGCCAGCAAAGATCAATAACAAAATTTAAACTTAACAATAATTTATTTACAGTAATATATAATAAGTATATCAAACATAAAGTACAAACTTAGCAAGAATCTAAAAAATACATACATCAGAGTGTCCGTTGCTGCACACAATGTCCCAGTGAAAATATATCCCATTTATATCTCAATAGTGCTTATACGACAAAGTATTCACAATTATTCTATATGCATTGAATTGACAGGGTATTTATACAGTATTATAAATCTAGAATATTCTAGAAATTGTTAAAACATGATATTACTGGAACAATCTGGACATATACAAAATTTAAGAATGTTCTAGATAAAATGACCAAACATGTTGACCACTCTGGAATGTTCAAGAAACTTAATGTTACTAATTATATACATAATGAAACAATACACATCTCACAACAGTTTAATTATTTATTAACGTCACTCTTATGTAAGTGGAAAAATAACAAAGAGTGGTCGAGTGGACTGATTCCGGAAATACTCAGGGTAGAATCTGGGATCCGTTTTAAAAGAACTTACGACTTAAGGTCAACTTTAGTTCTTCGTTCGTATAACTTTCTAAATAGCAATATATTGAAAATAATTTAAATCTTTCTTAAAGGAATGTAGTAAGATACAGTACCGACCAGACCCAACCTGACACAAAGCAGTCCCAGAGCAGTCCCGGGGACTGCTTTCTGGGACTGCTAAAGCAGTCCCACAGCGGTCCCAGAGCAGTCCCAGAGCGGTCCCAGAGCAGTCCCACAGCAGTCCCAGAGCGGTCCCAGCAGTCCCAGCGGTCCCAGAGAGCAGTCCCAGCAGTCCCAGAAAGCAGTCCCAGCAGTCCCAGTGGGTGGGGTTTATAACTTTAATGGGCGGAGCTAACTCAGAAATGAGATTTCCAATAAACAATGGAATATAAAAGGCAGTAAATATTGATTCTGTGTAGTATGCCAGGAATCCTTACATGTACGCGAAGGTCATTTATGAACAGAACATGTACATGTACGCGCATAAAAATTGAAATTATAATATTTATTGGAGGAAGAAGGCTTTCACACTTACATGTACATATATGAATTACACTGAACATGAATATTTAATCACAATTCTTGGGTATATTAATAATTCTTCTGTGATTGATACAGGTTCCCATATTTATTTTTTTACAAAAAATTAAACGTGAATTAAATATTTTCCACCAGAAGAAGCTTTAGATCTAAATAGATCTTATCATTATATGGCCAATTTAGACTATGAGGATACTCTGAAGTTAGAGTTTTCTTAAGTATTGGGGCTTGTAAAAAAAATTCCTTGCTAATTTTGCCAAGTATTATTTTTCAGTCATGATTATTTTTACTGATATGTCAATTAAATTATCGTTAATGCCTAGTTCTATAAAACTCAGTTTTAAGTGTTTTATTTGTAAATGTTAGAGTGTACATCTGTAAATCACCAGAATGGAAGCTTCAGATTATGTTCAAAATTAATTATCCCGAAAGAAATTTAAACACATTTCATTTATCACTTTTTTCGCATTAAATACATTGAAATTAGGGTCATTGTTTACCAGCATGTTCAATGATGTGTAACACTGATACAAATACCCAAATAACATGTATCGATTTTTCTGCCCAAAGGCGATTGAAACAATGGGTGTTGATACCATCTTATAAACATTAATCGGCCAGGTAAACACTAGCAAAACAAAAAAGAAATAAATCACAATTCCCGGTATTTTCATTTTTTTAAAATAAATATACATGTACTCTTTTAATAACTTGTTTATTAATTAAAAGCTACCGGTAATTCATTAATTCCCCAATGATTATTCACATAGTTTATGTTACGGGAGAATAGTAGCATAATTTTATTTCATGGTCATTTAATAAATTGTTGGGTTTTATTTGAGGGTTATATGGAATACTCTTTTTTTTTTAGCGTGGTCCTTATAAAATGTGTAGCATTTTTAATAAAAAACATTTTATATCTAACTGTAATGATTATTTTTAATTAGTACCTGTGCAAATTTTGAGTACATATTAAAATTTAACATTAAATAATTAAAAAGGCCCACATGTAGCAATTTTCTCGTAAACTTGTAGTTTATTTTTAGGGATAAAATTTTTTTCATGAATTCCTTATTTATCAACTTTTTTTTTATTTATTCTAAATAACATTAATTTGTGTAAATATACAGTCCTTGAAAATATCAATTAACTATAAAAATCTCTACTTATTAAAAGAATGTAAGAAATCCTTGCTTATTAAACAGTTTAAACTCCTCTCTGCTGCAAGTAAACAAAACAACAGGGAGCCTGCAAATTCAGAATACACAAGGGGGCGGAGCTATCATGTCACTCAGAACCTTTTTCACACATGAGTGAACAAAGCAGTCCCAGAAAGCAGTCCCGGGGGCAGCTGGGACTGCTGGGACTGCTTTTCATAGCAGTCCCAAAGCAGTCCCATAGCGGTCCCAGAGCAGTCCCACAGCGGTCCCAGAGCAGTCCCACAGCAGTCCCAGCGCGGTCCCAAAGCAGTCCCGGGGACTGCTTTCTGGGACTGCTTTGGTGTCAGGTTGGGTCTGGTCGGTACTGTATTTTTAAACTAAAACTTTTGAACATAATTATCATTTTTTGCAGAATGTTTCAATCATCTGAAGTTTTGGTCTTAGTCGTAAGTTCTTTTCTTTTGTAAAACGGGCCTCTGGTGCCTAGGGGGATTAGGACTCCCCCATTGAACGATTAAATCCTTGTATTGTTCACATAGATGGAAATTTCCATCGTTAGAGGAAGTGTAAAAACTAAATTTTAGTTACTGGTATGAAAGAGGTCACCAAAATTACTGTGCTTTAAAATTTTCATTATCTGTCTTTCTAATTGCTTATTTAGTTTATTTATCAAACACTACCTTCTGTAATTTTTGGTGGACGGTATGTTGATTTTGTTGCTGTCCTTAATTCTTCCCAAAGACCGGATTTGAATTCATTCTTCATATTCTGTTCCATGGAAAATATTTGCCATGAAATAGCAAGATACATTATCATTGTAGAATTAAATTTACCAAGCATGATTACACTTTAAATTTAAAAGTTTATATTAAACGCGTCTTTGAAACAAGAAATTATGATGAATTTTAAACAGAATGAAAAAATTCTCCGAGTATAAGACATCACTGTCGAATTTAGCAGAACAATGTGAGGTCTGCAGAAATAAAAACCCCCCAGATATGTAGATATTTGAAAAAATCCCTACCTTTTCGTAAATATATTCGATTGATTTCTGATTGAATATATCATCCAAAGTCTTAAGTGTGCTGATGTATTCCCCTGGAAACATCCATTGACCGTCCTTTAATAACTGACAGGAAAGACTTCTAACATAGAGCAGCATTTCTCCTCTCTGCAGATGTGTTATATTTAAAAGAAAAAAGTTAACGTATTCAAAAGAAAATTGAATATCTACTATACAAGCGTAATGGATATATATTGCAAAACATTTAAATTATTTTTCGATCACGACAAAGAACACACGACGTGTGTGGCCGATCAGCAGGGTATGCTGACTTCTCCATGGTACCTGATCCTACCTCTGATGTTTCGGAGGTCCGTGTTTGCTCCGGTCCCATTTTATTTTGTTTTATGAACTTTGATATTGAATACTGTTCGTTATCTCCATATCTTTCTTTTCTGTTCAATCTTTTTGTAGAAATTGTTTTTCATTTGTTTAATAGGACGACTTTCTACAGCCTGTGATTATTTCCATGGGTATTAATTGTGTCCAGTCAAAATAAGATGTGTTTTTGTTTTCATTTAAGGTAGAACAAAACACCCATGGATTTTATTTTAACCAATTTTGTAAAAAGTACCGGAGAAAAAAAAGAATTATATTACTATTTTGACAACAATGAATGATCCTTGTAAGAAAAATAATAAGTTTTGGTATGTTTGTGTCATATTTTGTGAAAACATCGGAGAATCCTACATATTGGTCACTTGTGGGCTTACATTTTGGTCTGTGTTTATGCTATCTAAGTGCAATAAACAAGCATCCATGTAACAGTCTATTACAAAATGCAGTGTAACTTTTGTTCCATAAATAGTAAAGGGTTGATATTTGGACACATATATACGGAGTATCCATTCTTAATGTACTACAAAGGTCAAGGTCATATCAAGAGGTCAAAGGTCAAATATTTTGACGTCATCTACTGAATCTCTTAGTTTTTTGCCATTTATTTTTTTATCGCCAAAATATCTGAAACCACCGGTTCAATTTTCTTTATTTTTACACATTTTATTCTAAGACCCATTTGAAATATTCTGTTGATTTTTTGTAAAAATTGAATTATACATTTTCTCTGAAGAACACTAAAACTGTAGGATATTTACAGGTGAACTTTTAATTCCGATGCTATGTATGTTCTATTTTTACTTTATATCTTACTCTAATTTTCCAGTATCAATTTGACTTACTGATTTAAAGTAACAAAAAGGTTATATTTTTTAAAAGTATTACACAAATTTGCAATAGATCAATTAATGAAATAAAATTTCTAAAATAAGGCTCATTTTGAAGTCGAATGTCTGATTTCACAATCTTCTTACAGGGGTCTGATAGGCCATTTTTCGGACTATGTGGGCAAAAAATGTGTGGTTGAATTTCTTTCATATCATATATAAAGAGAGATTTTGTATCTTAGAACAAAATAGCAAAGTTTCAGAAAAATTGAATTTAAGGAAATTTTTGGCCTATCTATTGTGTCCTACCTTAAAGCAGCATCGATAAAACAGATTCTGTAGGGAAAAAAAAAATCTCTCTGTGGTCAATCAATCACAAAAACTCGTCTCTACGTTTAGTGGATACATGTATATCTCTTTTTGTTTTATGACATTGTGATAAATCTGACGGCTTCAATTTGTCACTCGTCAGGTTAAGTTATATACCCTTATCACACCATATAAAGTTCTTCTTCCAGTTAATTCGAAACGCAAGAGCATGCTTTTTGAAATGTTTTTTTTTTTTGGCGGGGAAAGTAACTTGATAAAGCAAGAAATCTCATTAAATAACTACAATTCTTAATTTCCATAGTTGATACAATTCTTAGTCCTACCTAGTCCTACCCAATTTATCCGTCTAATTCTGATTGACGTTTTACATACTAATTGAGAGACCGTTATTTACACGCTTAATTGTCGATGTATTTTCCCGTTATTTTCCAGATCATGACATTCGCTTCGTAATCGGCCTGCCGGGGTTCGATTCTCGTTCGCGGAACCGTGTCAAACCTAAGACCTAAACATAGGCAGTGACTGTTCGTTCACAAAGCGCCCGGCACTAGAAGTGAAAGTCACGGGTCTTTTGGATATGGCCTAAAAACATAAGCCCCGTGTCACGGTGGGCGTGATAAAGAACTCTCACTGCTCAATGGCCCTGAGTTCCGAGTCTAGGTCTAAATTTGAAAACCTTTCACTGCTTGCGTCTCTATATGAGTGAAAAACTCTCGAATGAGACGTTAAACAATATTCAATCAATCAATCAGATCATGCCAAGGAGCACACAGCAGATGTGACCAGTCGGCAGGGGATGCTCAGTCATCCCATTTCCTCCTGATCTAAGATGTCATGTTTTAAGAGAGACTCGTTTGCTCTACTCTAGATTTGTACTGTATCAGTGAACTGTTGAGATTTAAAGACTAAGATTTATAAACTTTCGTTATCTTCACAATTCAGATTCCTATTGCAAATCTAAAAACTGGATGTTACAACGATTACAAGTTTGATACACTTATGGGTAGACAGGATGAGAGAGCCCAACTTTTAATTAATATATCTGGAATATACTTGCCGGAACTGTTTGTGATCTTCTTCGTAGGGACTTCAGTTTGTGAATCACAACTATTAGGAGAATAAGATTAAAAGATCATAACAATGAATTAACGTAACCATCATTTAAATACACAATTATTCATTGCTGAATAAACAGTTTTACTTTTAGCTTCAGAAGTTCCGTATGCCTTTAATTCATCTCACATCATACAAGTTTTGTATACTAGTATGTATGAAAAGATTCCTTTATGCGTGTAAGTGTATTTCATTGTAAAATACAAAATGCAGGTTTTGTATACTAGTATGCATGAAAACGCAATGCCACATATACATTTAGATTCCTTTATACATGTAAGTGTATTTTATTGGAAAATAAAGAATCAATAATTTTGTGCAAGCGGTTTTTATCCCCATTAAGTAATAAGTTCGTGGTACGTGTACTGTACATATTTTCATGGAGTCAATTTTTAAAGGTTTGAGGAAAAAAAATATTGGGTTTTTGGGATTTGATTTCAAGGTTGAAAAATTTTAGTAGTAATGAATATAGAATTTCGTAGTGGTCAAAAATTCAGGCATACCTCAAAAACAACGAAAATTAAACCCCTAACAACTATTTAATCCCTTTTCATTTATATTATAGATATATATTTGAGTTTTTTGAAGTGTATTGTATTTGCTATTAATTTACCACCAACAATAGTTGAAGCTACCAGGCGAACGAAGTCCTTATTGATTGCTTTGGATATCAAACATCGTTGGTTATCAATATCAGTTTCTAATGCTTGATCTTTTTGCCACTCTCGCACAATCCATGGTTTGGTCCGATCTACTTCATACTTATTTTCCAATTTTAACTTCTTATCTTTTGAAGTAATTGGCTGACTCATATTCATGTTACTTTCACTTGCTTCCGTTACACGCAAATCTTCATCTGTTTTAGAATTATTGTTTGGACTGACTGATGACATATTCTTACAAAAACATCCTCTGGGAAAGCAACAATCTACAAGGCAAGCAAAAAAGCGATACTTGTGGCATATTTGCAAAGGTTATTATGGAAATAATACAAAACAACTTCATTTTGATAAGATCCCTATGAATAGATAAATGTTAAATAATTAACATGTATTCGGCTATTGTTGATATATTTGAAAAACAGTCAAATTTTTCTAATAGAGGTCAGAATGGTTGGATTTGTTTTTAGTAATGTTGCACCATTGTATTTATTTACTGTAGAGGCACTAATTTTCGTTTGGATAAAATTTTGTTGATTTGTTATCAAAAATAGTTTCGTTGGCATTTAATTTCGTTGTTTTGAAAGTAACCCTAATCAATATATGGTCATATAAAATTTTGTGTGGGATTTAATTTCGTTGTTAATTATTAACAGCGAAATAAACGAAATTTAATCCCCAACGAATATTTGTGCTTTTACAGTAATCTCTGACAAATAGAAATTATACAATAAAACTTTTTCTAACAGGTTTTTCTTCAAATGAAATATGTGGAGATAAGAACATAATTCAGAATTCAGGGCTTAAAAGTCAATAATACAATACAAATATGGAGCAGAGCTAACATGGACCCAAAAAACATTATAGGTTGGATCAGGTGCCATGGAGGAGTGAGAATCTCTTGCTGACTGGTCACAATTGTCGTTTGATTCTTGTCATTTTCGAAAAAAAGGGGGAAATCCTTGGACAACTCAGATGGTAAATAGTGGCCTAACAATAAGTATAAAAAAAACGTCAGTCAGCATTTCACTAAAGAACTGATTGTATTTTAAACGAGACTGTATATTTTCTTGTTTCTTCTACAAAATGAAAATTTAAAAGAATGTTAGTCTGTTCAGAAGCGTTTCGTACGTAACATTCATATTAAAAAAAATAAAAAATACGTATGTTTCGTAGGTACCTTTCATATTTAAACAAGAGACCCAGGGGCCATATCGCTCACCTGAGCACTGTGGCTAGGAGAAAAAGCAAAAAGCAGTTTTGTATTAAAAAGCTTAAATGCATGAGTCGTCTCTTTGATCCCCAATTGTGGCCCCATCCTACCTCCGGGGGTCAGGATTTAAACAAACTTGAATCTACACTACGATAGGATGCTTCCACATGAGTTTCATATTCCATGGTCCAGTGGTTCTTGAGAAGATTTTTAAAGATTTTCCCAAGTATATATTCTTACATGTATGTTAAACTTTAACTCCTTATCATGGTCCCACCCTAACCCTGTGGGTCATGATTTGACGAAACTTGAATTTATAATACCAGAGGACGCTTCCACATGTGTTTCATCTTTCCTGGCTCAGTTCTTGAGAAGAATTTCAAGGGTTTTCCCTACGTATTCCTATGTTAAATTGACCTCCCCCCATAATGGCCCCAACATATCTCTGGGGTCATGCTTTGAACAAAGTTGAATCTACACTACCAGAGGATGCTTCCATTTGAGTTTTGTCTTTCCTAGCCCAGCGGTTCTTGAGAAGAAGAATTTTAAAGATGTCCCTATGTATTCCTATGTTAAACTCCGAACACCCCATAATTGCCCCACCCTGCCCCAAGTGGTCATGTTTGAACAAACTTGAATGTACATGACCAGAAAATGCTTCCACGTGAGTTTCATTTTTCCTGGCCAAGTAGTTCTTGAAAAGAAGATTTTTTTAAAAAGATGCCATCAATTTTTTACTACTTCATAATTATCTCCCCCTAGAAAAGAGCATAACGCTTCATTTGAAGAAACTTGAATCCCCTTTACCCAAGGATAGTTTGTGGCAAGATTGGTCGAAATTGGCCCATTGGTTCTTGAGAAGAAGATTAAAATGTGAAAAGTTTACGACAACGACGACATCAACGACGACGACAGACAACGGACAAATTTTGATCAGAAAAGCTCACTTGAGCCTTCGGCTTAGGTGAGCTAAAAAGCTTGACGACAGACAGTACAGCACAAAATGCTCACTGTTTAGCATTTTGAGTATTAAAGTTGCAAAGGCTACAGGTAACTTACCAGTGTTTAGATTTGTTGCTCTTTTTGAACTTTCTTCTTTCACTTTACTACCTTTTTTCATGCAAGATTCTGAACTCCATAATACGGACACATAACTAGAATCCTATTAAAATTCACAGGTTCATAATTTTAGAAAAAAGGGAACTCTATACACTTTATTTCAATGCAAAAAGAGACATTAAAATGAATAAAATATAGATGTTTACAAATAATAAACTCTTATGAACTCACCTCGAAGGATAAAATTGGTATTTCCGCCTCATTGGCTTTATCTTGAATGCATTTCTCCATCTCTTCAATTGCATATGACGTAACAATAACGGGCATAACTTTTTCTCCAAAGAAACCTTAAAAATGGCGTAATCAGTGATAGTAAGTGAGCTGATTCAAACAAAAAATCTTGTATTGTATCTGCAGGGTAAGTTCTTTTTTCAACAAGAAAATTTAAGTCCTAAAACCCTCAGAAGTCTAATATTTGACATTTTTTAGGGGAGGGGTGTCCAAACGAATGTTCTTTGACCTTTATTTAGTCGCCTGCGTGGCGCACTGGTAAGGACGTCTGCAATAGAGTCAAGAATGAAGGAGTTGATCCTTTCGTCGCGGGTTCGAATCCCACTGTGGGTCAAGGAAACCGGCCCTTCGGATGATATCGTAAAACCCCGTTGTCCTGTGTCTCATGAAGTGCTGGGACAAAGAAGACACCCCGCTGTTCAATCGCCGTAAGTGCCGAGTATATGTCAGATTATGTAGCCCTCTGACGGCAAGTGGTGGCGTCTCCATATAAGGGAAAAACAGCAATAACACCAATCCATCAATTAATTAATCAAGAAATAAATCAATCATAGCTTTAATGCATACATGTATGACATTGATAATTAGGAAATTATCATTAATACTTGAATTAAAGTTTTGATGATAAAAAACTAACCTTGTGCACGGAAAAAGGAAAAAATAACAGGTTCAGCACAATATATAGTTGCTTTAAAATTCCGCATAAAGCCTTTACAGAGTTTTAGTAAACATTTAAATAATTTTTTTTTGCTCTGTAAAATTAACATTTATTTAGGTACAAGATACGCAGCACAGTAAAGGTTACAGTAAGAAGGCGGGGTCTAATTTCTACGGGTAATGTTTACTATCCCACATGTGTCGTCAACTACTCGTCAACTGATCAAGCTAAAACAGTTGACCATTAGAAGTTGAATTTTGTTCTGAAAAGCGTTCAACTGATTTGCATAAAATGTTCAGTTGACCATTAGTTGATTGCTAATACTTTGAAATTTTCATTTAAAACAAGAGTTGACCACTAGTTGAACACTCCGACTTGTTAGAAAATTTCTCCCACGCTACATTTATGTTGTGTTTTAAATAACATTATCATAGATCGGGTTTGTTATACCATAATTACAACAGCACATGTGCGTTCTGTTGAAATATGTTTGACTTTTACCAGATGTTTTGTGTACTGATAAAATCATGCTCTCGATTTAAAGAAAGCAGCAGCACTTTTCAAATTAAGAAACAAATCCTTTATTTATATCCAAAAAATGAATAAGATTTATTAAGTGTATGCCCTTGCGGAAGAGCGAATTAATGAGGCACCTCGATGTAAAATATACCTAAACTCAACATAAAAACACGACAGAATTATTTGAATACATTCTCTTGATACTTAATGAATAATCGCACTAAACATAGAATATACATTTGTGTTATTAGCCTATTTAAAACCTGTAAATAATATTCTGTTCAGGCGCGGATCCAGGATTTGGAGTTAGGGGGGGGGCGCCAAAATTAGGCAAGGGGTCTGGGGGCCGCCTTGAGGCCCCCGGTGGGTCCAGGGCAAAACCCTGGTGGGGGCCCAGGGGGCGAAGCCCCCGGAAGCTCCTGGATTCTAGAGATTTTGAAGGGTGAAAATGAGGTCTACCAAGTAGACATATTTGATTTATGCTAACTTTAACAATTTTAGGGGGGGGGGGGGGGGCGCGCCGGGTGCGCCCCCCCCTTAAATCCGCCACTGCTGTTTTATAATACAACGCATTTTTCATTGTTAAATAATTCCCAAATCTGCCTCTCACAGTACATGAAATACGTCATTTTTACCAATATGACGTCATAATTGAGAAGTTCATCTAGATCAGTGATTTGTTTAAAACCAGCTGTATGGGAAATAACTAGCGACTTTAATTAATGCATTGATAAGTTTTATTGTTTATTATGCTAATACAGTTAAAAATTGCAAATTATTTCACTTTCGGTAATATGAGGAATGCATAAAAGTCATATTTTTGTGTGACGTCACAGGAAATCTTTCCCGTATAGATTAGGTCCCGCCCCCTTTTTCTAGCCTTAACAGTGCTGTGCAGTGAGAGGCTGATCAAGTCACATTATTGTACAATGAAAAATATCTTTTATTCTGAAATAAAATATTATTTGCAGTTAAAGAAAAAGCAGTTCTCTTGGATGCAATGTCTACTTTACTATTTATTTGATAAACGCTCCGTATATCCTCCAGACAAGTGATACTGTCGTGTGTTTGTCTGCAGATTCAACGAAAAAGTAATAGAAGGACCGTAATAAATCAATTTATTGAAAGGGCATACATTGTACCCTTAATTATTTTGCCAAGGTATTTGAAAATTGCTGCGAACCTCATGAAATCTTGCAAATAAATTAAATATAGCTATATTCAATGTAATTGACCAGCAAAATATTCAACCTGCCGCCCAACAAATTATGTTTTAGCAATTAAAAAGGGTAATCTATATAGGTTCGCAGCACTTTCCACAAGCTACAGATAGTGTTGAAAAAAAATCATAAATTAAACTAAGATTTTGATTTGGTTATGCCCTAGCAATATTAGAATTTATAGATGACCTCGAAACTGCAAGTATAATTGCAAAGATCGTGTGAGTTCGACATCATGCAACAAGTCTAAACAAACATCTAAATGTTTTCAACATGTAGATGTGAACCAAATTACATTTTTTTTATATCAGTGATCGAAGTCCTAAAAAGAATCGCCCATCTTTATAAAGTATTTGTTTTTTATCTTAAAAATCGCCGATTTTTCCATTAGTAACCTTAACTGTGCTTCGTATCCCTCTGTCTTTATTTAAAGCTTGAAACAAGGATAGTTTATATTACAATATTTTCGAATAAAAAAAATGAAATTTGTTATTTTTTTAATCCCAGAAATACTCAAAATTTGCAACATTTTCTTTTTTGGTAGGTTTTGGTTTCAAAGTGGTACCTCAGTTTTCTTACAATTTTCTTTTCTAGTAAAAAGCTACGCAATAATATATTTTCTCTGGCCATTTTTTAGATGATGTCTATGCTTTGTGGCTTTTCAACATTCTCATTTTTTAAGACACATCTCTTTCCCCCTATATCAATTTTTTTTTATTAAAGTCAGTTTTAAAAGGTGGGTTAATTTAATGAATCTTACGTTCAGCAATGTCAATAAAGTAACCGATGTTGGAACAATTTCTATTTCTTTGCAGGAGTCCCTTCCTCTTTTTCTTTCCTTTTACTTTTCTCTCATCTTTGTTGATACTACTTTCTTCTTTCATAACTTTGAACATTCTAAAGTTGTTGTCAAGCAATTTCTAAAATAAAAAAGTTTAACTTTAGAATGCGTTTTACTTATAAGAGAGAGAGAGAGAGAGAGAGAGAGAGAGAGAGAGAGAGACTTACGGTAATTGTTTCCTTTCTGGTATTTTCATGCACACCACAACTTTGAATATTTTCTTGACGATTGTGCCAGAGTACAACTTGGTCATAAACCAAGTGACAGGATATTCTTGAATGACCTATGGTTACCAGAAAAATATCTCAGGACTCAGATCAAAGCAGGTAAATTGAATATCCTGTACAATTTATTTACTGTTCAAATGTATGCTGATATGGATAAACAACTACCACTGGCAGTAAACAATTGTGATGCACGAATTCATCAAACAATAAACGAAGCCAAACGAACAATACCATAGTTAATTAGTTAATGTTAATTTTGTTTGCTACAAATAACTGTATTGATTCAAAGCTTAAATATTTTTTTATATAAGGTAATACATGTTGTGATTAATTTTGTAAATCAAAATTAGCGTCATAGGCTAGCTATAACTATATCTGATAGGCTCCACTCAGCTTACTGTTGAATTTTAAAAAGTTGTATTTACTGATTTTAGTTTTTGATTGGACCAGAGGTGAATTAATAAAATAGAATACTTAGAAGATTCAAAACGTCCTGAAGAATATCATCCTTTTGGTCTACGAAGATGAAATGAAGAACTGGTCTATAAGAGTTTTCCCAGCTCACAGAGGCTTCTTTTTTCCACACTTGAACTTGAATTTTAGAGACTTGTTCCTATCAATATCAAAAATTATACTTAGATTACAATTTTATGTGCGGTAATTTTTTGTGTGTTTAGAAGTATACGAGTTTCTAAGGTATTTTTCTGGATAATATTTGTTTACTAATATATATTATTGATTGATTGTATATTGTTTAACGTCCCTCTCGAGAATTTTTCACTCATATCGAGACGTCACCGTATGCCGGTGAAGGGCTTCAAATTTTGACTTTTACTCGGCTTTCAGGGCCATTGAGCAGTGAGGGATCTTTATCGTGCCAACGCCTGCCGCTGACACGGGGCCTCGGTTTTTAAGGTCTCATCCGAAGGACCCGCAACTTTCACTTCAAAGTGCCGAGCGCATGGCGAAGGAACAGTTGCTACCCATTTTAATGACTAGGTTAGTCGCGGCGAGATACGAACTCACGACCTCCCGATCATGGAGCGAGCGCTACTATTATATATTAAGAAATTTCTATATCAGTCAAGGTCTTGTAACGGTATGGCTTGATTTCAAGAGGTGGGCGTAACATCCAAACGTAAAACAACACATCAACAACAAAGTTAGATTTAACTTTTCCGCCATTGATATGTTTACTCTTGATCAGTATAGATGTTCAAGTGAAAAAATGTAATAATAAAGAAAAATTTCGCATTGTATCTTATATAAAAAAAACCTGAGAAAAATATGACCTGATTCTTGTCGAAGTGCTTTACTTGTGCATCATAAAATTCTGTTTCATCTGAAAAGAAAATACGTGTCTTTTCAGTTTGTTACAAAACTAATCTAAAAAATTCCAATTTCATGCATTTTTAAATTTTGTATTATAAAGAAAATTTCCTTTAAATAGCATGTTACCTTCCCCTAGAAGTTGTAAATGATCTTGATAGTAAAAATGACAATCTTTATTTTTTTCAATCCCGATCTGAATTTTCAAATCACATATGTCCCTCATAAAGATGGATCCATTGATACTTTGTACAGTCATTGGGTGTAGAATTGAATCCCGGGTCAGTTTGCCCATGAGCTTATCATTTTTAACTATTCCGGAAGCTGAAACATGAAATACAACTCGCTGATTAGAAGTAAATTATGCTGCAATATTCTCATGTTATCTCTCTTTAATTTCTTATAAGCAATATATCTTTTCAGTATACAAAAAGATAGTAAGTAAAGTAAGTAAATTTTATTTATAGTCGGACTACATACACATAACAGAGAACATGAGCTAAAAAGCTCTTTTACCGACTAGAAACATAAAAACATATTTATAATAAAATGTACATATTTACACATAAGAGCACAAATATCACATTAAAGTTCACAAAGACAGAAGTTCATTTAAACACACAAGTGTAACCAAAGACATTGATAAACTGACATAAAAAGAAAAGAAAGAAATAAAAGACAAAACATTTGAGCAACACACAAGAAAATAAAAGAGTCAACATAAGAGAACAACAAGTTCTTAAAACAAAAGTCATGCACACAAACAAGGAGGAAAGGTTAAGAAAGCACAATACTGTAAAAAAAAAATAAATAAATAATATCTTAAGACGATCATCTATAAAACTGAAAATTAGGTATGAGGCATAGAAGTCTGAAGTCTGCAAGAGCTGCATTTACAATTTAGTTCTCCGCACCAAGTTGAAATGTAATTTGAAAATTGATTATATGAGGAGAATTGCCTGGCTTCATTGGGTAGAGAGTTCCAGAGCTTTGCTGCCTCATACCTAAATGATTTCATCCCATACCTTGTTGTTCTTGGTCTTGGGACCTCTGCAGTATTTGTATATCTAAAATTGTATGAATTATTTTTAAAAACAACCAGATCTTGCAAAAAGACAGGACTTAAACCTTGTAAAATTTTAAAGGTTTCTATAGCAATGGCACGCATTCTTCTGGTTTTCAAAGATGGTAGTTTAGATTTATGTAAAAGACTCTCATAAGAACTTTTATAATCTTTGTAAATAAATCTTAATGCTCTTTCCTGAATTTTCTCTATTTTGCGAGTATTTTGCTCAGTACAATAATGCCATGTTAAGGGGCAATAACTAAAATTTGACATGATAAAAGAGTGATATATTGTAAGTTTTCCTAACTTTGTTAAGTGCTTTCCTAACCGTTTAAGAACATTTAATTGCCTTGCAGCCTTTTTGCACATATTTGTAATATGTGTATCAAAAGACAACTTAAAGTCTATGGTTATACCTAGCAACTTAACTTCATCCTCACAAGAAATTTTGATTCCATCTAAATCAAATACAATGTTTTTACTTTGTGTTTTATTTCCAATAGAAATTGCCTGAAATTTTTCAGGGTTGGCCTGCATTATATTTGAAGAGAACCATTCAATGAGAGATCTACTATCATGTTCTAAAGCTGCTACCACCTGTTCTAGAGATTTATCAGACTTTGATAGGGTGTTATCATCTGCATAATTGTAGAGGTTACATTTATCTACAAAGAAAAACAGGTCATTTATAAATATGTTAAATAACAGGGGACCAAGAATAGATCCTTGTGGGACACCTTTAATGATGTTTAACATGTCACTAACATGATGCCCTAATTTAACACATTGTTTTCTATGTGAGAGGTAGCTATAAAGCATTTCTTGTGCTGATACAGATAGCCCATAGGCTTTTAGCTTCAAAAGAAGTAGTTCATGGGGAAGGCAATCAAAGGCCTTGGAAAGATCCATTGAAATAGCTGCAGTGTATTCATTTTTATCCAGGGCATATTTCCAGTCTTCAATAACTCTCAACAGAGTAGACTGACATCCGAAACCTGACCGAAAAGCTGATAAAAAAGGATTAAAAATGTCATTAAAAAGTTTGTTAACTGTGTTTCTATTGCTCTTTCGAAAAGTTTTGATATTGTTGGGAGGACACTCACTGGTCTATAGTTACCCTTCTCTAAGGTACTATTTTTCTTGTGTATTGGAGTAACCTGAGCAATTTTCAGCTGATCAGGAAAAGTTGATGTTACCAGGGATAGATTAATTATTTTGGTCAAAGGTTTACTGATAACTGGATTAGCAATATGCAAAAGTTTTGGAGAAATTCCGTCAATACCTGTGGCCTTTTTTACATTGATTTTTTTAATATTTTTATAGACAAAATCTTCCTTAATGGGCGAGAAAGAAAATGTACTTGGTTGTGTTGTACCTTGAGTATTTTCTCTGATTGCCTTGATACTTGGGTGGTCCTCATCAACCTTTTCATCTGCATTTCCAATGTCTTTGGCTACATTTATAAAAAAATCATTAAAAATCTCACTTATTTCATTTTGATTATTTACAAGTTTTGAATTTTCTGACAGAGTTACATCATTTTGTGTGAGGGACCCTTTATTTGTTAAAAAAGGCTTCACAGTTGGCCAAAAATCTTTTGATTTTGGTCCCCCAGGACACCTTTCAATAAAATATTGATTTATAGATTTGTTCTTTAATTTGGTTACAAGATTTCTTTGTTGTCGATAGTTCTCCCAGTTCTGGTTTGATTTTATCGACTGATATTTATATATTTAAAGATGAAACCTTTTCGAAAACCACAGACAGACAAGCATGTCTTCTTCGTTTCTATTGTCTGGTACTTTACACTTTCGTTCTCTACAAACAACAGTACGTCTGTCCATTTGTTAGGTGCCTCTTTTCTGGATAATTCTTTACTGAAATAATTGTATATGTTAACTTCTTTCATAAAAAAAATCAGTAAATTCAATTGTTTCCCATTCCATCTAAAGTAATACACAGCTAATATCAAGAAAAGAAATAATAATATGAAAATTGCCTTTATGAAATTATACAGTATTTATTATCCTTCTAACTATGAATTGAAAATGTTATAATTTTTTATATGCATTTACTGCATTACATGTGTATAGAGATAATGGTTATTATGTAGAAATCATTATACATTACAGTTTAAATAGAGAAGAATGTAAACAAAAATTACCAGAACGTTTTACCACATTCCCAGGTAAACTTGCCAATAAATTCATCTGCAAACCTCATATAGCACATAGTACAGAATGCTTGATTATTTTCATTTTTCCAAATAATCCCCTTTATATTTATACTGCATCGTATACATTCAGTTTCTGTTTTAAGCCCTGAAAGATAAAACATTTCACACTGTCTTCACATATTTATATTCCTTGCGTGAATTGCGTCTGTCAGGGCATTTGTCTGTTATGCTTTAGGATACCAATCTCTTATTCGCAAGTCCTCTTATACTACTGAATGAAATAAAAATGAGATTTCAGATTCTTTGTTATAAAGTGCCATTGTGCACCTCCTTTTTTGCTTTTTGATAGAAAACATATTTTGGGTTTTCCAATGCAAAATAACGAAACTTTTATTTATTCTATAATATTGAAGGGTACCCATGCCCATCTCCTCCGATAACATTGAATAAAATTTAATTTCACAAATTCTTTAATGCGATTGTGTCCTATTTTTCTTCTTTTTCATCTGACATTTATTTCGGGTTACTCATAGCATAATATTGACTTTGCCATTATTATCATATGGGAGACGAAGTGTATCATGTAGTGAGCTCATGACCTGATATTGGTAAACATATATTTAAAAAAAGGTTACTTTATTCTTATTACAATTAGATACTCATGTTATACGAAGAGGTACATACAAAGCATAAACTGTTCCAGCCTAGGTTGTACCATATAACTTGGTAGCTATTACGTTCATTTATCAAATTTAAAGCATAAATTCAAGAACGAAACAGGTGAATAAAAAAAAAAAACAGGGAAAAAATAGGTTAACAATTTACTTAGTGTGTTTTAAAGTTATCAGTTCTTCAATATATAAACTATCTGTATTCAATCATAAAATATTGCAGTTTAAACATTCATTTTTGTTATTTAAAAAAAATCTTAAATGAAAATAAGACTAAGAATGTTACCTGTGTCGAAAAGAAGCAATTGTTGGTTATTTAAAGACCCTTGACTTCTTACATTGAAGGATCCTGTGTTTAATTCAGCGTCCCATTGGATCTTTACTCGGACCTAAAATAATTCAAAATAGTTTCTAGTGAATTCAAATGCTAGTAATTTGTTTCCAAACACATTATATTTCGTTTGTGATGTTTAAAGCGATTCCTAATTAGAAATAAGTAAGAACTATTTATTAACTATTTTATTTGAAAATTTAATCTAATGAACATCTTATAATCGATACACATTAATGATTAAAAGTTTTTTTTTAAAATGTCAATGTATAATACGGACGTTTTCGCTATTTCCTGTTTTCTTGTATGCAAGGATTGCTCCCACAATGTATTTACTTTCACTTTCACTTTTGTTTTTATTTTCTGATGTCACTTTCATCATTACTCTAATTCCAGGAAGGCTTTTGACCATTTCTAAAACAAACAACGTATATTACACAATACCATGTATGTTTCTACATATTAAGGTGCTTCTACATTAAACAACATTAATATTTATCATTCTGAGTATGGATTATATCACACAAAAGAGTTGCGTCGATCACAGTTTTTTTTTTCTGTGCACAGATTCCTCGCTTCGGAATATTTGTTTGCTTTACTTCAGAATAAAACCATTCCTGTTAAGAGCCAGTCCGCGAGAAAACCATGCAAAATTCAAAAAATCGTCCAAATGGAAGGTTGCAACTTGGGAATTTTTAGTGCCTTAAAATTTTCTACATAAAGATAGAAGTCAGAATATCCACAAAAAAATGTCGAACCCTGCTTCTTTTTTTTTTAGTAACAGCTCATTTGCATATTTGTGGAAAATCACACAAAATTCAATGGAAAATGTATACAAATTGATCAAGTCGAAAAGTTACCTTTTTTCATCAGTTTAATTTCAAATTTTGTTTTATTTTCAAAGTCATGGTCCAATTAACACAATTAATGAGTAAAAACTTAATTCAAATGAATATTTTATTTTTTACACATCTATTTATAGATCCTAAATAAAGGAGAATGATTTTTAGCCATTTTTAGATGCTCGTTTCTCTCAAGACCAAGGTTGAAATTAAATCAAATTAATTGTTACTTTAAGAATGATCTAAGGTCTACTCTGTATTAAAATATTGAGCTTGGGAAATAATTTCTACATGCTGTAAATTAACTTTGAAATACCATATTTTGCTACAATTTCACATATTTTAAATAACAGTCTTTTACCATATTTTTGGATTATTTCTATGATATTTAAAGAAAAAGAGAAGATTCTTAATCTAATATATTTTTTAGAAGAGGACTAACTGATTTGGACACTTCATATAACTTTCCTTTGCTTATTTTACCCCCTTGTTACCAATTTGCTGGAGTTAAATTGTTATCTTCCCTTGTTGGAACTCTTTTGTATTATTGGGTAAAAAGTGACAAGTATGTCAATATGGAAAGAAGAAAATCATGCATGATCATTTTTTCTTCCTCTAGGGAGTTGTTGTGGAGCATTATTGCACTATGAAAGAGGGAAAACTTATTTTAAGATATTTGAATGTAAAAAATAACAATTTAGCTTGAATAAACAAATACATGTAACAGGCCCATAGGAAGCAATTTCAGTGTGGGGGAGGGGGAACAACCTACATTATCCACTACAAAAAAAAAATACCAAGAATTCCATAGAAAGTAAAAAAATAAAATAATAGGTCATCAAATGTTTGTTTTTTTTATTTGGGGCATATACATGTAGTAGGTATGTTTTCTATAGGGTTCTGTCCTCGGGGAATCTACATGTATTTCATGGTAATTTAACAGATACAAAATTTTTCCTAGTAAGTACAATTGAATAGGAAATTAAATCAAATAATAACATATTTTTAATCAAAATATACATTTGATATTTTGTTTAAGGCACCTGGCCCCGTTCAAGTTCAAGATCATTTTTATTCACTCAAACCATTTCAGGTACATGAGGACAATGAAGAATATTTACAAAATATAAATTCAGGTCAGAGGACAAGTATATGATATACATAATCAGAATATGAAAAGGAAAAGAAAAACGCATATGAAACATGTAATAATGAAATAAAATATCTTTAATTGCCATATTTGTGATAAGATCTATATCAGCAATCAAAAAATTGCCCAAAGAAACGGTCTAGTTAATCTACCCTACATTCTCTATATAAAAATCATATAGAGAGGGTAGATATTTTTATAAAATGTAAGTTTAAGCAAATTTTCTGAACTGATAGAATAGATTATATCACAAATGTGTCATCCATATATAATTTATGTGAAAAAAGTCTAACAGGCCCGGGGGTCTATATTGGGGGGGGGGGGGGGGGAGGTCCTGTCCTCAAGCACCTGTGATGTAAACCATGCCGTTAATTGATAAAGGAGAAAGGACTTTATTGAAATCTAGCCGTTTTTGCAATTGAGGTAAGAATTTGGAAGAATTAATCCAGAACCAAGCGCATTTTTTATGCGCAATAAATATACAGGTGGCACTGTAGCCCTCCGGTCTATCAATATATATTTTTTCAGAGAGCTACAGTTCTGCAGCTAGCAAACAATGTCAAGTCTCAAAATTTATATGAATGGATACTGAGTCCGTTTGAATTTAAATACTTGTAATATCCTTTTTATTAATTATAAAGAAACTAACTTACAAAATGTAAGGGACATATACATTCATATGATTGTTGAAAAATTGCAAGTAAGCCAATACAATTTATTATGTTTTTTTTTTCTCATTTCTAAACAATTCGCAAAATGCTTATCCTCATATTAGGGGTAATTTCTGACAATTTAGTTTTTTTTTATTTTTTAATTTAAATATTTTTCACTCATAATTATCATTTCAAAGAAAATTTTTGCATGTTTCAATATCTAACAACAATTGTATATAATTTAAAGTACTATATTTGACTTTGTAATCCATTTGAGTTTGAGCAATTTTTTTCTCGAAAATTGGCAATTTGTAAATCCCAATATCTCAATTATTTATTATTTCCCAAGCTCAATATTTGGCAAAGATAATGTTTAGAGTTATTTTTGTACAATAAAATCAAAAAAATGAATTTCAAAGATTGGTCTTGGAAGATTTTGGGCATTAAATTTGTAATACTTTTGGCAATTCTTGAAAATTGGCATCATGCCAATTTTCAAGGGTTGTCTGCCCTTTGATATATTGCATATTTGATTATGATAAATGTCAATTTTGAAAGAACATAGTCTTATGTTTTTCAAAATACCTTAATGGAAATGCGAGTTTAATTTTGAATAAAAATAAATCAAATGTGAATTTTACCATTTTTCTTGAATTTTTTAAGTGCATTTGCACTTAAATGTGCAAAAAGGAGGTGGTGCTGCCTATGGCAGCCATGTTCAATAATGGGATTTTTTTTGGTCATTTTTTAATAACATATTATAAAGTCTAACTACCCACCAAATTTCATTAAGATATGACAACCTTCGATTTGGACAGTTCTGCATGGTTTTCTCGCGGACTGACTCTTATGTTATATTATTATATATACTAGAAAAAAACTGAAAGAACTAAACGAATACGACTTAGACTTTTTTCAGGTTTATGGATTTATGTTTTTCTGCAGACTAGTATTTTCAGTATTTGATTGATTAAAAGCACCATTATGCTCAAGTTCGAGTAATACCTTATAAGCGTAGGAGATGGAGATAACGAACAGTATTCAATAACAAAGTCCATAAAACAATACAAAACAGGAGCAGTGCAAACATGGAGCTCCAAAACATCAGAGGTGGGATCAGGTGCCACGGAGGAGTGAGCATCCCCTGCACCCGCTGTGTGCTCATTGTCATGATCTGATAAATATGGAAAAATCTGTTGTGAATTCAGTGTATAAATAATGTACTAACAATTAGTATGAAAAACGTTTGTCAGCATGTGACTCAATGATAAATTGTATTTGCTGACAAGGTCATTGTATCGACCATAGAACTTACGAAATGATGAATTTAAATGAGATTGCTGATATTGTTGTTTCATCAACTTGCTTGTTAATAATTTACCTCGTTTCAGAAATTGTTCATACGTAGAGCATGCTCTTACCTATCGAATTAACTGAGATATATACAATGCGTATGCAGGTGACGAAGGTATATTGCTGCAGGAGGAAGGGAAGTTGACGATAGAAAAGTTATTCATCACGTTTATCACATAACTTGGTTGTTAGATTACCATTAACGTCTTTTTTCAAGTAAAATATCCAGGTATGAAAAAGATATGTCAGACTCTGTGGTATCTTTTATCTCGAGCTCTCCTGGATATATCGTATCGACATAGGAATGGAATTTACCATTTTTAATTGACAATACGTCGTCGATATAACTGAATGTCGAGTTTAAGTACACAGAAAGTGTTTTCTTCATTTCTTCATTTCACGCATAAGATTTTGAACAAGTTCTCCTTCATATGAATGTGTCTTATAATTGACGCTGGGCGGCGAACGAGAATCCAAGCCTGGCCTGTGTATTACGAAGATAAGGTCCCACCACTAGGCTACCGCGGCCGGTCTTATTGATATATATTGTCTCTCTTACCTGAATTAAGATGGGGAAGACAAGGCTCCTTCACTTTGATTCCTTGTATTACTGATACTCTTGTATTTGGAGCCAAGTTTCGCAATGGATAAATCACTCCGTTTATTGTATATCTGTGGACAGCCTCTTTCAATGGCCCCAAAACCTTTCCTTTAAAATGAAGAAGGTAAAGTACATTTTATGGTACGATTAGCCAAATGTGACCCCATTGCCCAACTTTATTTCCAAAAGCACAGTGCAAAGATTAACAATATGGAATACAACATGTACAAGTAACACATTTTTTAGTATAAAAAATGTTACCTAACAAAAATTTTTAAGTCATGATAAGGTAACATTTATGAATACGCAGCACAGTTAAGGTTACAAATTGAAATATCGGCGATATTTTAAGATAAAAAATACATACTTTATTAGGAAGGGCGATTCTTTTTAGAACTTCACTGATATAAGAAAAATGTAATGTGGTTTAAATCTACATGTTGGGGACATTTAGATATTTTTTTAGACTTGTCACGTGATGTCGACGTCAGATGATTTTAGCAATTATACTTGCAGTTTAGAGGTCGTCCATAAATTCCAATATTGCAAGGGTATAACCAAGTTAAGAATCTTTGTTTGATTTATAATCCTTTTCAACACTATATGTAGTTTAAGAAAAGTGCTACGGAGCTATAAAGATTCCCTTTTTTAATTGCTAAAATTTTAATTGTTGGACGGCAGGCTGAATATTTTGCTGGTCAACTTCATTAAATAGAGCTATAATTGATTTATTTGCAAGATTTCATGAGGTTCGCAGCACTTTACAAATATCTTAATTTTTCTTGAGTTTATGTAAAATATTGACAAGATACATTGAGGGTATGCCCTTGCAATGAATCGATTTATTATGGCCATTTCATTAATTTTTCAGTGAATCTGCATACAAAAACACGACAGTGTCACTAGTCTGGAGAATGTACGGACAGCTTATATATGAAATACAAAAATAGACATTGCATCCAAGTTTACGGCCTTTTATTTCATTGCAAATAATATTTTATTTGAGAACAAAGACATTTTCTGTGTACAAAATGTGACTTGATCAGCCTCTCACTGTGGACAAACTGCGTCATTTTTGCGAGATGACGTCACATTGACAAGTGCATTGCGATCAATGTATCGTTTATATACTGTTGTGTGGTATTTAACAAACGACAAAACTTCATGTAGCAGTAAGTTTGTATGTAGTACACATTGTACAGCTATCCAGCTGTTTGAAATAGCAAATGATTTCATTTTATGGTATTTTGAAGACCTTATATTATGTGTAACGTCATAGTAAACATTTCCCGTACAAATTAGGCCCCGCCTCCTTACTTTAACCTTAGTTGTGCTGCGTACTAATGTGAAAAGCGAAATCTATTATCCATCTACCAGAATCAACCTGCTTCTTCACTGGATGACCTCTGTTTGTTGAACAAGAACAGCGTTAACGTAAAATTATCAGCAACGATGAATTTTAGTTTTTGTCAGCAAGAACAACACATAATCAATAATTACAAAACATTATCAGCAAAATTTAGGATTTTCAACACTGTTTATCTCGTTGTAGAGGTAGAATGTCAATAATTTTAAATGCGGGAATGTGATTATTATATCACATTAACGTACCTTGCATGTTTTCATTAACAAACGATACTCTACTTCCTGTGGTTACGCCGTATGCTTCATGTCTTTTACCAATATCTGTGCTGCTGGATCGACTAGGCATTTCCGGTCTAAAAAATCAGAATTTTCTTCTTTGAAAAGTACACAGAACTAGGTTTTATTGAATAAAACTCACTGGAGATAACTGATACTGCAAATAGAATAAGATTTTATTTTTGTTCTATGAGTAGTTATGATGTACTTAATGCGCTTCTTGTTTTTAACTATATGGCTCATTTTGTCTTTACATGTCTTCCTAAAATATATAAAATACGATTTTTTGTTTTTCAAAAACATGGTTACAAACACAACAAATTTTATTATACAATTAAAATATATTAATTACAAAACCAAATATCTAATTATTTTTATATCAACCATTGGAAGATCATATCAAAGGTTCCCATTTTCTGAAACGTTTGTAAATTAGGGAATAACTCTTGTTTTGTTGAGATTCGTTATATGAAATAAGTCAAAGAGCATTGTGTTTTTGCGTTCTTCTATCATGACGTCACATGAAAAGAAGCCACTCATTAATGCTTCTTTTAATGCTTCAATCATCAGTGCACTACCCAATCAAAACGTGTTTTCAAAAAATATGCATTAAAATAAGATATTTTCCCTATTATGCTGGTCTTTATTTTCACAATTCATCTGCAAAATTCTTGAAGCGCATTGCATTTTAACACGAACATGCATTGGTATACTTTTTCAAATTAAAGAGTGAGTAAAGGTTTTTGGATTTAATTACTAAGCACTCCCCTCCCGCCCTAAGCAAAAAATAATCGTAAATTATTAAAGAGGTTTTGCAAGCTCACTTTTACGTGTACATGTACGTGTAAATTACAAGTAAGAATTACACGTACACGTTAACATTTTTGTCTTGTTTAGCAAAGTACTTGTAGTTGTAAGTTATTAAATGTAAAAGTGGTTTACATATAAAGATCATCTGAAAAAACAATGATTTTAATACGTATATCACCGTTTTAAATAAACATATGCATGTACTTATGAGAAGAAAATGTACATATTTCTTATAGGTCAAAGCCTGTTTCGAAAATCTAGATGTTGTGATTTTAACTGCCTATAAATTAATATTTTTCAATTACTGACGTTCAGTTCTTTCAACGGTATTTGCATTAAATATTCAGGTTTTAGAAAAACGCACACTTTTTGAAAATATAAACAGCAGTTAAAGAATTATAAGCTTCAAGTTTAGACTTACGTGTACTTGGCATTCTACACGTAACCTGAGTAAGAGGATACGTGTAGAAATTCGCCATTAGCAAGAGTGATGACGTAATGCACAGATTTCTGGAGCTACACGTACACCTACGCGTACACGTTGGTTTGCTATATAATATCGATGAAATATACGCAAGTGAATTAAGGCTAAATATGGATATTTTTATGCAAATAAGCTAATGAAAATTCATAATTTGTATATTTTATGTGCAGAGAAGGTTCAAATTGATTTTCTGATACATACTCAGTACCCACAGTTTATCAATGCAAGTGCACATTATGACGTCATATCATGACGTCATTGTTCTCTCCCATTCAAGGTATTAAATCATATAAACAAAATCACGTCGGCGCAAGGGCCTATCCTATCTAATTTAAAATAAACAATGTATAATATTCAGGTGAATATTCTTAAAATTAATAAAATTGCTGCACAAATCCTATGCACTTTCTCAATTGATAAAAATTTTAGGAAACTTTCCCTGGACAGTGAATTTTTACCCTGTTAAAACTTAAAACTGCACGAATAGTAAGTAACCAATTGCACTGCCGACATTTGTGCAGCAATATCTTAAATCTTTGGAATATCCTGCGTCTTTTGATACCTTGTTTCTGTAAAACAAAGTAATGTATGCCCTTGCGCCGAAGCGATTTTGTTGATGTTTCTTATACACTTGTGTAGTACAGGTCGATGACGTCATAATATGACGTCATAATGTGTACTGGCTATCGCATGTCGTGGGTACCAAGAATGTGTTAGAAAACAAGTCTTAACATTTTCTGTGCAGTAGGTAGAGCAATTATGGAATTTAATTAGATATTTTGTATAGAAATTTCCATATGTAGCCTTAACTCACATGCGTATGAAAATTACGAATAATGTTGAAGCTCAAAAGTCCATTTTATTTAAAGTATAACTCTTGCCTGGTTTCTGACTAGATGAAATATTCAAAGAATATTAATTTTGCTTATATGTCTAACATATATATAGATGTAAGAAATGTAAAAGACCATATTTTTCTTTCCGCATCAGGAACAACAACTTTGAATAGAAATGTTAAATGTATTTCAAAACTAGCATGGACTATATTTTTGGCAGAAATGTGGCGTATGAAAATATCTTTTTTGCCTCTCAGAATTATTGCAGAACAATGCATTTAGTTATAATTTTAGCTAATTTTTTTATAATCAAAAACTTGAAGAATCTTTAAAATGTAATTTAAGGTTCATAAACTCCCTGCTCACTCATATGAAATTTTTCTTTAACTTTTATGATTTATAAAGGCAGATGTATATGATGAATAAAATACAAACAATTATAGCATGACTTGCGGGGCAAAATTTGACAAAAAAGGCACTTAAACTTGACAAATTTATAAAGAATTAATAGACATTTGTTTCATTAAGAGTTATCTCTCTTATCAGCGTATCAATGTACCTTAAATTTTTAATAAGAGACGAAAGATTAAAAATATAACAAATGAATATGATTTCTCAAACAAACTAGAACTATGTTATCTTTTAAAAGTTTCCAATCTTAGTACAGATTTGAGCCAAAAATCTGTATAAAGTGTTTTTCTTCTCTCTCTCGGTTAACGATCAAAACTTTTTGTTTTTTTAATCATCTTGAATTTTACTGTGACAATTTCTCCAAGTATAAAAATAAGAAAAAATTAAATATAAAAAGTATTTTAAAATAATAAATATATGCAAAAACATTAAGTAAAGTAGAGAAAATTCGGATTAGCCAATATCCATTTTAGTTAAATTATTTCTCTCAATTTAGTAATCTTTTGGACCCTATTTGGTAGTATCTTTTATGCAAAAAATCATATATTTTGAAATACAAGTAGGGATCGCATGATTAGCAACAGTAATTTCTTTTTAGTCTTAATATCCATAGAAAAGATAATGACCCTGACCTGACCATGCCTTTAATATAAAACGGTCAGTTTTAATCTCACTGGTACCAGCACTTAGTGATATTGTCTTCTTGATTCTGTAAAATTTTATCAATTTTTATATGTAAGAAATATGAGAAGAATACTACGTTGAACAACATTAAGCCAAATCAGACATAAAATGGACCTATTAAATGCATCAAATATGAGACAGGGCACCATAGAGGAGTAAGTATCCCCTGCCGACGGGTCACACCCGCCGTGTGCTCCTTATGATTTGAAATGCATTGAGAGAATACTTACCCTTTTCCACCTTTCATCATTATTCGCTGGAAGACATGGTTTCTGTTATATTTATTGGCCATATAGCATGACGTACAAAGGTTTCTAAATTTACAAGTGACGCATGTCCATCGTGTACCAATTATAGGCTCTTCATTGCATCCATTGCACATGAAGTTGTCATGAATTTCATCTTTGAAAAGAAAAATTATTTTCTAAAATAGTGATGAATTTAATGAAAAATAAGGCTTTGTTTTTATATTTAAATGTGGATTTCTCACATGCTCAAACGTGGGAAAATCTATTTTAATTAAACTACATGTATATGCTTCAATGACTATGAAGATTGCATAATTATTTTTGCAATGCAAAAAAAAAAAAAAAAAAAACTGTCTGTCGCAGATTCCAAAACAAAAAGATAAATGGCGTATAAGACCACATTTTAACAAATAATTTACTAATAGAGACTTTAATATAACATCGAAAAATTTGAAATACTCAGCATTCGGATTAGCCAAGTTTCATTGTTTATGTACATTACTGTGCCTTTCTTAAATTTGATTGAATGGAAAAGGATATAGTACTTGTATTGTATACGAGCAGCTCAAATTTCAATGGTCCAATAGCACATAACTCTCTTTGTCCATTGTCCCACTGTACTTCCACATAAGTGTTAAGTTGATTGGTGACCAAATGAGGTTTGTTGAATCTATCTACATACTCTTTCCCAAAAGCTACATAAAGAGGTATATGAATACTTAAAAAAATATGACAAAATGATATTGTGTTCCTTTATATCAATTATATTTCTACCATCAAAATTCTAGGACACAATGATTTAATAATCTACAATACTGATCTTCTTGCATTGAAGGAAATCAACAGTTGTTTAAGGATTACTCTATTTTGTCTTTTATTTGATTACAAATTAAAGGTGATTTGTACATTGCTGCACATGTTGAGTGCATATTATCAATGATTTATTTCTTATGCATATTTATCCGCTGCAGTACAACTTAGTACACTGTACTTCATAAAATGTAAGATTTTTTAAAAGTTCTTTTTATGCTTTTAGGCATCATAGCAGGCTAATGATCTACTCCTATAAGGATATGTTTTACCGAGAAAACGTACAATGATCTTTTCCATTTCGGTAATTTAATTTGGTGTATTCTATTTCTATGAAACAAAATAAGACACAGAGGAAATGAGACTGTGAACATGTTTTATAAAGATAAGACATTGAAATATATCTTAAATCTTGATTCCTTGGGATTTTTATCGCCAGAAATGGTTGAAATTCTTTCTTTCAAAAACTAATAATCTGGAATGTAACATTTCATAGACATTATGAAAAGACAATCAAACAAACAAAGCAAACGATGTTAATAGACGAAAGGGGGTTATTGGTTACAAATTTTATTATTATTTTGATGGATAATACCAGAAGAGTTCAGCAAAAAATGAATCATAATCAGCAGAATTTATTCAAGGTTCAAGGTAGCGATCAGTAAATTTTGGCAAACGATCAAATGCCAATATTGGAAAAAATTGTACTTATGTGAAATAACGTTACATATGGAGGTTTCTATACGAAAAACCTAATTAAAACCCATAAGGACCGCACATGTGGTTCCAACAACAAGGAATCAAAACTCTGTTTTGTTGATATGTTTTATTACCTTGGAAGGGAAAGAACAATTGTGTCATATACATCTATAAGATTCATGCTCGAAGCCTTAAATTTCACCCTTTGATATGTATTATTCCATATTTCTTTAAACATATTGCCCATATCCGTCGCCCACATCAATATTTCGATATATTGATTAATATCCTTTATAATATGAATATCATATTTCAAAACCTTTATCGGCGATTTATTTGTTGTTTCCTGAAATCGACTGAAAATTGATGTCTATGCATCTTGTAAGAAAAAACAGGAAAATGCACAAATTCATTACATCAGAATTAGCATTTGTGACGTCAAATTTGAAAAATGATTTGTATGAATTTGTTGCATGGAATATCAATAAATCGGAAAGAATTATTTTTAACTTCTAACATCAGTTCAATATTTAAGAAAATTACAGGGCCAAATTTGTATAGAAACCGAATCTTGTTCTTTGAAATGTCTCTCTATATAAAGTATATAACTTATGAACTTTTGTTAGCTCATTTGCATGAAACACTCATATCTAACCATTTTTATACCCGCACTTTCTAAAGAAAGTTCGGGTATATTGTTGTTACTCATGTCCGTCCGTCCGTCCGTCCGTCTGTCCGTCCGTCCGTCTGTCACACTTTTCTTCCCTGAACTCCTCCTACATTTTTCACAGTAGCTTAATCATCTTTTGGGAGATGGTTGGGGGTGTCATGTAGATGTGCAGTAAGGTTTCGGAATTTTGATTTTGCCCCAGGGGATCAAATGGGGGTCGAAAAATGACGTTTTTTATGCTAAAAGCCCCGTCTTCCCTGAACTCCTTCTACATTTTACTCAGCAGCCTAATCATCTTTTAGGAGATGGTTGGTGGTGCCATGTAGATGTGCAGTAAGGTTTCCGAATTTTGATTTTGCCACAAGGGTCAAATGGGGGTTGAAAAATGACGTTTTATATGCAAAAAGCCCCTTCTTCCCTGAACTCCTCTTACATTTTATTCAGCAGCCTAATCATCTTTTGGGAGATGGTTGGTGGTGTCATGTAGATGTGCAGTAAGGTTTTGGAATTTTGATTTTGTCCTGGGGGGTCAAATGGGGGTTGAAAAATGACATTTTTTATGCTAAAAGCCCTTTCTTCCCTGAACTCCTCTTACATTCAACTCAGCAGCCTAATCATCTTTTGGGAGATAGTTGGTTGGGTCATGTAGATGTGCAGTAAGGGTTCAAAATTTTGATTTTGCCCCGGGGGGTCAAATTGGGGTCGAAAAATGACGTTTTTTATGCTAAAAGCCCGTCTTCCCTAAACTCCTTCTACATTTTACTCAGCAGCCTAATCATCTTTTGGGAGATGGTTGGTGGTGTCAAGAAGATGTGCAGTAAGGTTTCAGAATTTAGATTTTGCCCCGGGGGGTCAAATGGGGGTCGAAAAATGACGTTTTTTATGCAAAAAGCCCATCTTCCCTGAACTCCTCTTACATTTTATTCAGCAGCCTAATCATTTTTTGAGAGATGGTTGGTGGGGTCATGTAGATGTGTAGTAAGGTTTCAGGATTTAGATTTTGCCTCAGGGGGTCAAATGGGTGTAGAAAAATGATGTTTTTTATGCAAAAAGCCCCTTCTTCCCTGAACTCCTCTTACATTTTATTCAGCAGCCTAATCATCTTTTGGGAGTTGGTTGGTGGGGTCATGTAGATGTGTAGTAAGGTTTCTGAATTTTGATTTTGCCCCGGGGCGTCAAATGGGGGTCGAAAAATGACGTTTTTTTTATGCAAAAAGCCCCATCTTCCCTGAACTCCTCTTACATTTTATTCAGCAGCCTAATCATCTTTTGGGAGATGGATGATGGGGTGATGTAAATGTGTAGTAAGGTTTTGGAATTTTGATTTTGCCCCGGGGTGTCAAATAAGGGTGGAAAAATGATGTTTTTTATGCAAAAAGCCCGTCTTCCCTAAACTCCTATTTCATTTTACACAGTGGCCTAATCCTCTTTTGGGAGAGTTCACTCTTTTAAAATTTTGGTAAAACATCAAGGTCAAGGCGTAAAAAATCATAGCATGTTGGGAAACATCTTGTTATGGGTAATGTACACTTGAAATGTGAAAGTCGTATCTCTTCTCAATCAAAAAGAAAAATCAAAATTATTGAAAAGTAAGTTGAACTTCAAGGTCAAGGTCACAGAGTCAAAAGTCATGATAGATTTGGAAAGGTCTTATCACAGGTAATATGAATTCTCTTTCATTTATCTTTCAAAATGATCAATTTAAAACAATTAATTTGTTCATGACAGTAGGTCAAACTTCAAGGTCATGGGTAATAAAAATCATAGTGTATTTAGAATGGTATTGTCCCATTAAATACTAATACAAATGTTTAATATAAAAGTCCTGTCTCTTCTCATTCAAAATATATGACTATGATGACCAAAGTTAAACTTATTGTGACAGATGGATAGACTGACAAACAAATAAGATTTAATGTGTCCTACCTTTAGCAAAAATGGGGGACAATAAATGTCCTTGCTGTTCTTGAGAAGAAGATTTATGTTGGAAAAAGTCCCCTGCATATTTACATGTAATTGGTTGAAATTGGCTCAGTGGTTCTTAATTCAGAAGTTAAGAATGTGAAAAGTTTGCAGAAAAACAGATGGACGACACAAAACAGTACATTTCAGAAAACAGTATGCTTGTAAATAGTTAATCAAGGTGCTTTGGGTAGCAAAATGAAGCTAAACTGGTATATCTAATTCATCCGCAGCACTTAGTATATTTTAATATGCACAACCTTTTCAACTCTTACAATAATTATTTTCAAAATATTTATATCACCATGTCTGATTCAAGGGAGAACTTGAGATATGACCAGAAGTATATCTGTTGAATATAAAATATGTACATGTATACTGTGGTTTTTTTTTAGTACCGGTAATTTGTTTGTTTGTTGTGACAGCAACTGTTTTGGCAGCTTTTGGCAAAGGTTGAAGTTTCTCAAATGTAAGTCAAACTCCAAGGTCAAGGTCAAAGGGTCAAAATTGTTGGTATCAAAGGGAAAGTCTTGTCACAAGGAATACACATGTGAAATAAGAGAGAAATTCCTAGTACTTCCTCACCTGTTCAAAAGTCATTGCCAAGGTTAAAGTTAAATTGGATTCAACTCTAGGGTCAAGGTCAAAAATATTTATACCTGTTGAAAGTTCACAATGATTACACATGTTAAGCATGAAAGTCCTAGCACCAACTGTTCAAAACTTAAATTAGGCCAAGTTTAAGGTATTTTTCTTGTAAAAGTGGGTCAAACTCCAAGGTCAAGAGATCAAGAGGTCAAAATTGGTGGTACCCATTAAAAGATTTTGCCAAAAGAAATTTACCTATGAAATGTGGAAGCCATGTGTATAGCCCAATCCACTTAAAACTTAAATATGGACAAGGTTAAAGTTTCTGTGAACAGGCATACATGTATAAACACAGGAAACAAAATATGTATATATAGTCAAATGGAAAAAATTTCTACTATTATGGAGTCATAAGATCATTTGTCATTTCAGGTTACAGGGTGTCAGTGGCTAGGGAGATCAGACACCCCCCTCCCCCTTGAATTTGCAGTTATTTAGATAAGACTATAATTTACTGAAGAGAATACAAATGAATTTTGACATCCTCCCCCATAGAAAACAGGGACCCCAGCATCATTGTTTTTATTATTATTTTTTTATTTGCTTCTCGGGAAATTTTGGGCTGGATTTTTTTTTTTGAATGAGGTGTGACCCCCCCCCCCCCCTCCCCCCATTCCGCAAAAAAAATTCTGGATCTACTTCTGTAATAGTGTATATACTGAATGTCGGCAACGGGAGATAACTTGACAATGTGAAATTTGTCGACTGTGGCATGCGATGGTCTTTGACCCTTTTTGAACTTCAACCTAACCATTTGTATTTATTTATTCTTATGCAATCTATACTAAATCTTGTACTTACCGAATGTCATAGGTCGTGACAACGAATTCATGAAATATAATCCATATAATCCAATTAAAACACAAATGATTTTAACTGACCACACTGCATCGTCAGCATACATGTGCTAAATAATCTCATTCATTAGATGAAGTATGAATCGGCCGAGGTGTGCCGAGTGGCATTATCTAAAAATATGATAATGGGTGACGCAAACCCAATGTGAATGTAGAAATTTTCAATAAGATGTTCACACGTAAAACTGTTTAGTACAAGAACAAATTTCAAACTATCATAATAAACGATGTTTTAACATAACTTTGCCATCTAGGTCTATTTTAAAAAAAAATGTGTGTGAGAGAGAGAGAGTGTGTGTGTGTGTGTGATGGTGAGGGGGGGGGGGATAGGCATTTACAAATCATTGGGCTGTATTTTCAATGTTTTTTTTTTTCCCTAAAATAATATTTTATGTTATTGAGAAAGTAAATTTAAAAAGTTCCAAATTATGGGCAAAATATTTATCAGAATCTAATTAATTAATTTACTTTATTAATTAAATTCTGCTATTTCAGACTGGTAATGAATTAAGTATACAAAATACATCTATGAGGCTCATAGATCATATGGTCACCTGAAAATTTTATGCTCAATTTGACGAATACATGTACGGAGATAATTATAGAATTATTTTGACTTTTCCTTGGAAAGTCCAATATGAAGGAGTGTGTATTTAGAGGCAAACACCTTAGTGCGGGTATTACTGTCTCATGACAGCATCTAGTTGAACTTTAACTCGCTTGCGAATCATTTGAAATCTGATGTGCTGAAATTCTTTCTATGAAATATGTTTTACCATTCCCGGATTTCCCTCTCCTAAACACAGCAATTTTTGTTATTTGTTCTTTCGTGTACTCCCAAACTTCCGGTAAATCTTCCTCAAAATCTACACAGATGACCGTTCCAATGTAGTCCCCGGGAACAGCTGTCAATTTCTCATGATCATAATTTGGTCCTTTTATGACACGCAAACCGCGCTTAAGCAATTCTGGAACTAAGCGGTTTTAAAATATGTTGTAAATAAAAGCCAGACATTTGATGTGAGCATAATTTTCTCAATATTAATTAATGAAATCACCAAAATATGAAATTCATCACTGAATTTCAGACGATGAGATCTATATCTTTTTCAAATATTTGTATGAGGTGATCCTATTATCTAAGATCGTATATTTAACCGAATATGTTAAATTTTTGAAAGTATATCTCGAGGGGTGTCTACAATAAAGTTCGCACAAAATTGCTGAGGTATTTTCAATAATGATCATAATGCAAAATGTTCTAGATATTATTTCGATAAATGTTAAAATATTGAAATATAAAACATTCAAATTGATGAAATGGATTGTTTACCTTTTTCTACATTTTCCTTCAACGTTTTCCCGAAAATGTTTATTCTATGAAAAGGCTTTGGTAATCTTTCTCCAGTTAGACTTTCCTACGTAAATAAAAATTTATGATAACAGCAAAAATAAATGCAATATCAAAAGAAGGCAAATTGTATTAAAAACATAAACAAAGAAGGATTTCTCCTAAAATTATTTCATGATATGAAGTATATCTCTCAGTTAATTCCATTCTCTAGAGCATGCTCTACATATGAACAATTTCTAAAACAATGTAAGTAATTGACAAGAAAGGTCATTTCGTAAGTTCTATAGTCGATACAATGTCCCCTTTAGCAAATACATTCTATCATTAAAGCTGAACACTTCTCGTAAAAAAAGGCATAGTCCACCATATTTTCCGTTCTCCCTACAACCCCTTTGTAAGGAGCAGATTGCTTATCAGTTCCATGAATTTCGATGTAGAGATCCGACTAGTGTAGACGTATATGTTACACTGCCGTGCTACTCAGTGGCAATGAAACTATCAAATTTACGTATTTTTTTCCAAAACAAGACAAAAGTATCAGGAAAAGTACAGGTCAGTACATTAATTACATACAGAAAATGCACATAAAACAAGGAATAAACGTGAAAACCTAAAACCACGAAAGGAGTACTACATGTCATCCACGAGTTTCGAGTGTACAATCGGGTGTAAAGAAAGCGAACGGTTTATATACCCGTCTGACAGTGCCTATTTATGAAATGTTTCAGCTTTAAGTTAAATACTGACCGACGTTTTTCATACCAATTGTTAAATCATTATTTACATAATAGATCGTCGACATATACATTAAAGCTGAACACTACGCGTAAATAGGCATAGTCCGCCATGTTTCTCGTTCTTCAACGCTCTCTCTACAACTCGTATATAAGGAGCAGATCGCTAGTCAGTTCAATGTATTTCACTATAGATATCTGAGGAGTGTAGACGTACATCTTACAAAGCGTGCTACTCAATATCGATGAAATTATCAAATTTTACGTATTTGTCCAAAACAGGAAAAAAAGTATCATGGAAAATACAGGTCAATACATTATTTACGAACAGAAAGTGCACATAAAAACAAGAAATAAACGCAAAAAATCTAAGACCACGATAGGAGTACTACATGCCGGCCACGAGTTTCGAGTGAACAATCGGGTGTAACGAAAGCGAACGGTTTATATACCAGTCTGACAGTGCCTATTTATGAGAAGGTTCAGCTTTAAGGTTATTTCTCCATCATGACAAGGAGCACACGGCAGGTGTGACCGTTCAGCAGGGGATACACACTCCTCCATGACACCTGATAAAACTTCTGGTGTATTGAAGTTCAGTATTTGCTCTTCTCATAAGTTTATATTGTTTAATGGACTTCTTAGCTTACATACTGTCCTTTATCAACCTACATTTAATTTATGACTTATACGTAAATATGGAACAGTATACGGGTGCAAAGTTAACATGCTCCATTAAAGAAAATACAGAAAAGGAGCAGAGAAAACACGGACCTCCAAACAATCAGAGGTGGGATCAGGTGCGATGGAGGAGTAAGTATCCCCTACTTACACCCGCCGTGTGCTCTTTGTCATGATCAGAAATTAACAAAAATTGTCGACTAGTCAATGTGTACATAATTGCCTAAGGAAAAGCGTGAAACATTTCATAACTGGGTATTAGATTGATGCCAAATAATTCAGAATCTTTTGAAAACAGTAATTCTAACCCTATTGTCGCCGTCTTCTTTGGCGTCGTCTTCTTCCTCAGAATGTTCGCTCTCTGTCCCAGATGTTTGATCTCCCTTAAAACAGATAAAAAGAAGTGCATGTCAAATTTTGATTTACAATTTCTTCTTGGCATTTCATAATTATTGTTCTATCTATAAAGTGAAAAAATTCTTACACTTTTCCTTGGTCTCTCATCCGATCTGGCAGGGTCTACTGGTGGGCTGGGCAACAGCCTATTAACCTAAATTGATACAAAATCACATAAATAAATCTCCACAAAGGAAATATAGTCGATATTTTTAAATATCTCAAATGTCAATTATATTTTCTAAATTCGTGTAAACAGAAATGTAAGTGAGACAAAATCATCTATATCAATTTAATAACAGTTTACAATTAGACGAGGTAAAGATGAGATAAGTATTGTAGTAGTTTTTTAAAAAGATCTCGAGAATATGCTCTGTCGTGATTAAGCTTGAATTCCCTCTCTTGCTTTACATTTTGTTACTTTAAAAGTACTGAAAGATTCCGTGACTGGTCCTAAAACCTTAAATCATATATCAAAAAAATAAATTTATTGGAAGTTTTTAGAACAGTTTATTTGAACAAATATCCTAATTAAATAAGAGAATTATTAGTTTCTTGATTGTTTAACTTTTTTTCATAACAATTCTCAGTTGTCCTCCCATTATATCCCGATTAAACGGACAGTCAGATCTCATTATATAACAGGACCCAGATATTGGATAGAGATGGAGGGAAATTCGGGAAGTTGGATGTCCCAGAAATCAGAAGTAGTTTTGTCTAGTTATTAAAATGGAAAAATGGGATCACAGTCTTACTTCGAGCGACTAAGAACTTCAAACGATGGAGAGATTTGAGTTCTAGCAATCCTGAGGCACTTTACAAGGTAAGACAAAGCATTAACCATTGACACTTCTATTATGAGATTTGATTCAAACATAACATATTTTAAAGATGACATTATTATTAACCATCTCATAGTTTTTGAATGTTAGGAATTGCGAAGGTCATAGTATGTATATTTTTGATACATATACGAAATAATATGGAAAGATAATCTTGTCAGATTATTAGAATTTACGGAAAACACACTTTCTAATTGGTTTTGTAGCTTAGTATATCTGGTAAATCTAATACGAAAATATCAAGAGTTTAATATTTCTGTACTTTAAGTGACTTACATGTGTATCATCATACTGTGTTGACTGATCCACTTTTTCCAAGGACTTTTTAAAAAGAAACATAGTAGAAAAATATGATGAATGTACAATTTACATGCATTACCAATATAGATAAGCAATGTTGCAATCATTAAATCAATAACATTATTTTAGCAATATACATAGACAACGATAATTTATGTTTAAAACTCCCATGATACAAGCACTACCCTCTGATAAAATACTTACCTGACAAGATGTAGATTTGTCTTTTAAATTTACTTTCTAAAAACAACAAAGCAAATTATGAACAACTTTCAAAACCACTCTATGAAAGAACAAAGCTTATTAAATTACGTCTTTACTATAAGAAGTTGTCACTGATAAGATTGAATAAATTTGCAAATATAAAAATATTTCAGCATAAATCAATAGAATAAACATAATTATTTTGTTACGATTCGTATAATTGGTTTACCCAATTAGTATTTGTCTTTTTGTTCTTTGTTTGACCAACCTACAAACAAAAACATGTTAAAATAAGCAAAAAAGCAAACTCCTCGGAGAAAATAAAAAGGTCTGTCACGTGGTCAATTCTTGTGAAATCCGAAGAGCTTTTCTAAATATTTTGATCACTGACCAACCAAATTTATTTTCCTAAGCTTTCTTTTTATATATTCACATTTGAAAGAGATATTCATATATAGATTTTGAATTAACATCCAGTCGAAGATTAAGTGAAAGGCGTTAATCAGCTTGGTTACGTTTGAAATTTTGTATTTTTTTTTTACTTAAGACATACTCGTATATTTAAATGAACTGGCGAAAGTAACATCAATTTATGAAGTAATTATTGTACTGCAAGGTTAGGTAATGAACGAACAATTCCTTTGGAAATTTTATGAAGATGTAAAATAATTTGATCTTTGAATGTGTCTGTATTTTTTTTTTCGTGCCAGTACATCAACTTATATGGTCTCATCTCAGGAACATGTTTCAACGTCCCACCTTAGGTTTGCAACCCGCTATGTAAAGACTATGACTCCTTACTCCTAGACTGCAGAGTAGACTCTCTACCACTGATCTACGCAGGTATGATGCGTTTACAGTTTTGGTACATACAGCATGTGACAGTAAAATCTATTGGTTGAAAATACTGGAAGCTTTAACATGTATTTACCACATCCGTTTCTGTTGCTTTATCCTTGCGCTCGATTTCCTACAAAATTAACACAATAAAGATAAATCGTTGCTTCTTTTTTAATGCACAAATGCTACTGCATGTATATAAATAACAGTTAAAAGGGACGGTTTTCGCACTATTTACCAAAGTTTCTGTTACTTTATCCTCAGTGTTTATTACCTGTAAAATGAAAGAGCAAGTTATAAACATTTTTTTCGCGGCATTACTGCAATAATTATATCCGATTGTTCGTAAAATTAATAAAAAAATGTTAATTCTATTCATTTTTTTACAGCATAAGTTATCCAGAAATATATTGAAATAATTTTTTGTATATATATTACAGAATAAAAATGGTTTATTTAGCCATTACCGAATGTTTACATAAAGGTCTGCAATGATTGCTGAAAATCTATCATTTAGTTTTCTGTTATTATACATTCAGTTGCCTTTCGTTATTTTTATATGCATGTAGTCTATGTTCAAATCCAAATTAATTGTGATAAAATTGTTTCCAAGAGATCTTAAATCACTCATAGGAAATGAAATGTAAAGGCAAGGAAGAAATGAAAACCCCAAAAGTTAAGTTATAAGTTTTTACACTTTTCATACAGAATAAGTCCGATTTAAGGTACATGATGTTTTAATATTTCTACACGTACTGATCTTGGATACAGGTAAACATGTGTTTTTTAAGTTATGATTAGAGAAGAAATGTTAAATAATAACGACTCGAGATGTGTCAATAATTTGTTTATAGTTAGAAAAAGAGTTAAATATCCTAACAACTATATAATCATTAAATCCTTACAGTGTTGTTTACTTTAAGCCTAAAGTATCATAAATGGCAAAAAGGAGACACCCTTGTTTTATCCACTTTGATTCGCGCATGGGCAAAGCGGTAACTTGCGCGCGTTAAAACCGGAGAGGACTACTTTTTAAAAAAATTCAACACTGAAAACCTACACCATTTCTTTTATGGAACTTATTCAATTATATGTCGAAGGTTTCCATCACTTCTCCTATGCATATTTGAGATATATTTGCAAAAAGATGTACAGTAAAGCTCGTTTGGTACGAACAGGATATTGCGAATTCACAGCTTCATATAGATTTAAATAATTCTTTATACGTATATAACGAATTACGAATGGAGCATAGAAATTTTGAAAGTCCCTGTGATATCGTTATAACCGAGTTTTACTGTATAGAATTATTCTGAAAGAAAGCAATCATTAATCTTGCCTTAAAGATTTTTTTTTTCCAATTTTCAGAATGTGTGAAAAAAAGTAATGATATAGATACACAACAGCGTCATACTAATTTGAAATAATTGGGGGAGGGACAAAAAAGTTACGTAAACAACAACAAACTGTTAAACCAAGTATATAATCAATTCTGAAACACACTCCGCTTAATCTGTTTTCTTATATAACTATTATGTTTTGTTACGTTGCTTTGGCATTAGGTTCAATTCTGAACAGATGCAATGCTTACTCAAACCTGTCTGTACAATGAAAACTATTTCGATTGTAATGATTTTGCTTTAATCTGAATGTGTACTTTATTCGAGATTGTTCTAAGAGTCCATTATCTATCGATTCTGAAGATATTTAACGCTACCTTAGTGCTTCACCTAATATTATCAAAGATATTGAATATCAACATTCATTTCTCAAACACATGCCTTATTTCCCCAAAATTCAATCAATTTTAGGAAATCAATCACAGATAGTTTCTATAATGGAGGAAAATACTTCATCAATGATTTATTTTCCTTAGTCTTTGTTTTTTATAATGTGAAACCGAAAGTTGACTTAATTTTAAAACGTTATTTAAATAAAAGTATCCATTAGAAAAGGACTGAATTCTGATTATCGGAGTATTACATTTCATTACCGCAACGTAATATACATACATTTTTAAATTTGAAATAATTTATATATTTTTTTAATATAATCTTTAAGAAAACCTTTGCCTGGCAAGATCAAATGAGATCGATAATGTTGACATCAATTTTCATATACAGTGCGATTGACAAATATCTATGTACATGTATCTAGTTTTGGAATTCTTAAATTTGATTATTTGTCATTAGTCATTTGTATTATTATTTTGTGTGATAGTACACACAGTACTCTGAAGACGATATTTTAAACAAGAGGCCCAGGGGCCACATCGCTCACCTGAGCAATTGGCTAGGAAAAAACACAGATCAGATCAGAACTGAAAGTAACCTGGGTGGGGGGGGGGTGGCTTGAATTTTACACCCCCCCCTAGGGGGTCATGATTTGAACAAACTTGAATCTACACTACCTGAGGATGATTCCCAATAAATATAACGAAGCCTGGCTTTGAAGTACTTGAAAAGAAGATTTTAAAAGGTTTCCCTATGATCCTATGTAAAACTTTCATCGGCCGTTTTGGCCCCACCCTACCCCCGGGGGTCATGATTTGAACAAACTTGAATCTACACTACCTGAGGATGATTCCACATGCGTTTCATCTTTCCTGGCCCAGTGGTTCTTGAGAAGAAGATTTTTAAAGATTTTTCCTATATATTCCTTTGTAAAACCTAGATCGGCCATTTTGGCCCCACCCAACCCCCGGGGGTCATAATTTGAACAAACTTGAATCTACACTACCTGAGGATGATTCCACATGAGTTTCATCTTTCCTGGCCCAGTGGTTCTTGATAAGAAGATTTTTAAAGATTTTCCCTATATATTCCTATGTAAAATTTTGATCGGCCATTTTGGCCCCACCCTACCCCCGGGGGTCATGATTTGAACAAACTTGAATCTACACTATCTGAGGATGATTCCACATGAGTTTCATCTTTCCTGACCCAAAGGTTCTTGAGAAGAAGATTTTTAAAGATTTTCCCTATATATTCCTATGTAAAACTTTGATCGGCCGTTTTGGCCCCACCCTACCCCCGGTCATGATTTGAACAAACTTGAATCTACACTACCTGAGGATGATTCCACATCAGTTTCATCTTTCCTGGCCCAGTGGTTCTTGAGAAGAAGATTTTTAAAGATTTTCCCTATATATTCCTATGTAAAACTTTGATCGGCCATTTTGGCCCCACCCTACCCCCGGGGGTCATGATTTGAACAAACTTGAATCTACACTACCTGAGGATGATTCCACATGAGTTTCATCTTTCCTGGCCCAGTGGTTCTTGAGAAGAAGATTTTTAAAGATTTTCCCTATATATTCCTATGTAAAACTTTGATCGGCCATTTTGGCCCCACCCTACCCCCGGGGGTCATGATTTGAACAAACTTGAATCTACACTACCTGAGGATGATTCCACATGAGTTTCATCTTTCCTGGCCCAGTGGTTCTTGAGAAGAAGATTTTTTAAAAATGTTATTAATTTTTCTCTAATTCATAATTATCTCCCCTTGGAAAAGGGCCTGGCCCTTCATTTGAACAAACTTGAATCCCCTTCACCCAAAGATACTTTGTACCAAGTTTGGTTGAAATTGGTCTAGTGGTTCTTGAGAAGAAGATGAAAATGTGAAAAGTTTACGACGACAACAACGACAACAACGACAACGACAACGACAGACAACGGACAAATTTTGATCAGAAAAGCTCACTTGAGCCTTCGGCTCAGGTGAGCTAAAAAGGATATTTTGCCTGACAAAAACTTTATAGTTTGGTAACCATCATTCATAAACTGCACTTATTTATGTTTCAATATACCCAGTACCTTCATCACCTGTGTACGGGGTTTGTGACTGTCAGTTGATCTGACATGAAAGAGTGTGCTATGACTACAAAACATATGGACATACTGAACATTATTCAAGATCAATAGCCCTAAAACAATGCAAAACTGGAACAGAGCAAACACGAACCTCCAAAACGTAAGAGGTTTTAGGCGATCAGAATTTTCAAGAATGTTTTGTCGTTTCTTTAAATTGTTATGAATTTTTGGAAGTCCTTTCGAATAGGTAATCACAAGGGGAATACGATCACATTGCGTTTTATTTTTTCCTGTAATTTAGCAGATCCGAGAGATTGAGCTGGTTAACTTGCGTGAGTTGTTTTTCTACATCATTACTAGAATATCCTCGTTTTCGCAAGTTCTTTTTCACTTTATCACGCTGGTAATGATTGTTTTCTCTTTGGAGCAAAAACGACGTGCTCTAAGACCGAGACCGTACCGAACGGAATTGAACTTTTTGTAGATTCGGTATGACTGGAGGTTTTGTTAAGGTACATAAGTTTGTTAGTTGGTTTTCTGTTAAAATATGTTGTAAGAAGTCCCTTTTCCAGAGAAATAGAAACATAAAAAAACTCTGTTTTTATTTTTGAAAAAAGCAAGTCAAGCTGAATGTTAGGGTGTACATTATTAGCTGTCATTTGGAAAGAAGGATATGGAAATAACGAACAGTATTCAATATCAAAGTCCATAAAACAATACAAAATAGGAGCATGGCAAACACGGACTTCCGAAAATCCGGGGGGGGGGGATTCAGGTGCCATGGAGCAGTGAACATCATCTAACGACCGGTCACACCCACCGTGTGCAGCATGTCATGATCGGCATCTTACGAAAAGATCCCTCGTCAGTTCAGTGCACAAATAATGGACTAACAATTAGTATGAAAAACGTCAGTCATCATTTGACTCAATGATAAATTGTATTTGTTGACAATAGACCATAGGACTTAGGAAATGATGACAACGCGACTGCTAATATTTTTCTATCACCAATTTGTTTTTCGATGATTTACCTCGTTTTAGAAATTGTTCATATGTAGAGCATGCTCTTGCGAAAGTGAGATACATAAACTCCGTATGCAGGTGATAAAGGTGTATTGCTGCATCAGTAAGGCAAGCTGACGATAGAAAGGCTAAAGTCATAACAATTATCATAGAGCTTGGTTGTTAGATTACCATTCATTTTTTTTCAAGTAATATATTCAAATATGAAACATTATTTTCATACCCTGCGAACAATTTCTAATACGAAGCAAACAATTGACAAACAAGTTGATGAAATAAAAGTATAAACAGTCTTGAAGGTAAATTATAGTCTATCATTAAGCTAAACGCTGACATGTTTTTTTTTCAATTTTTAAAGGACATTATTTACACACTTAGTTGTGAGCTTTTTTGTGTTTTTTTTTTCTCGAAAATGGACAAAGAGCACATGGCGGGTGTGTCGACAGGGGTTGCCAACATATTCATGGCATCTGATTCAATGTATGATGTTTTTGAGGTTTATGCTTGCACTGCTCCTGAATATTATTGTCCTAATAGACATTTCAGTTTGAATGCTTCTCATCATCACCGTGTTTTATTTATATAAACAGGGAAAAATTACCCGTGTATATTTTTCATGCTTTCATCTTTCAATTTATAATGTTGTATTTTCTTTTAATAACTTTGTTTCTAATAATGATTATACAAAACTCTCACGTTAGTTTGTTTCAATTCGAGATTATGTTAAATTAAAAATAAACAAGATATATTTGTGACACACAGATGCCCCCGTTTAACAACATTGCGAAAATCAAACTTTTCTTAAATGCAAAGTTAATATATTGGTACCGAAATTAGGGTATTCTCACTGGAAATACAACAGTGAAATATGAAAGTAATCCAAATAAGTACAGAAATCTCCAAGGTCAAGGTCAAAGGATCAAGATAATTTGTATCCAATGAAAGGTCTTGTCACAGAAAATACATATGTAAAGTATGGACTCCCTAGCCTTAACCCTTCAACAGTTATGGTCAAGGTTACTAATTTCAAAAAGTAGGTTAAGGTCAAAAGGTCAAAGGTCTTGTTTGCAAATGAAGAGTCTTGTCACAAGAATGAAATATGTACCGGTAGACTATGAAAGCACTAGCCCTAACCCTTTCAAAGTTATGGTCAAGGTTTACTTTTAAAACTAGGTCAACCTCCTAGATGAAGGTCAAAGGGTCAAAGTTCTTGATATTCAAGGAATGGTCTCTTCACAAGGATTACATATGTGAAATATGAAATCACTAGCCCTTAGCGTTCAAAAGTTATGGCAAATGCTAAAGTTTTTTTCATAAGTGCGGAGATCTCAAAAGTTAAGGTCAAAAGGTCGAGGTAATTGGTATCCAATAAAAGGTCTCGCCACAAATATATAGATAACAAGGTTAAGAAATTAAAAAAGACGGTCAAACTGAAAGGTCAAGGTCAAATTGTCAAAGATTCTGCTATCAAATATTCTTTCTTTTCACAAAGATTAAAAATGTAAAATATAAAAGCACTAGTTCTAAACTAAAGTTATCACAAATGTTTACGTTTTGAAAGTAGGTCAAACTCTAAGGTCAAGGTCAAAGAATCAAAGTTCTTGGTATCCAAATGAACAAGGATTACATTGAGAAGAATGAAGCCGTATCCGTATCCTTCTTCGTTTTAAAGATATGGGCAAGTTTTAAGTTTTTTCTTCAGTATGAAAATCTCCAAGGTCGAGGTCAAATGGTCTAGGTTGTTTGTATCCAATGAAAAGTCTTTCCACAAAAAATATATATGTTAAAAATAAATGTCCTGGTATATACATGTACTGTTCAGTAGAAGATATGGCAACATTAAAAGTTTGGAAAGTTTGTGCAAATTTTGTTCAAACCCAAAGGCCAAAGCCAAAAAGTCAAATTTGTTGGCACCAAAAGAAGCATCTTGTCACAAAAAATACACATATGAAACATAAAAGTCATAGCTCCACAAAATCAAAAGTTATGGGCAAGTTTTTGGGGACGAACAGACGGACAGGGCGACAGACAGACGGAAGGACACGGCCAAAACTATATACCCTCGAAACTTCGTTTACGTTTGCATAAAAGAAGAGAAAAAAATAATCGATTTCTTTGTTATTCTGTTTCAGATGTCTGCATACATACTTTTCTTTCTGGTGTTTCTATCTTATTGGTTTTCTGTTTTCCGTTCTTTCTCTTTTTCTAAAAGAATTAGTTATTGATTAATTAAAAAAATATTTGTTTGCATTAAAGAGTTATAGATTTTGAAATCAATCAGAATGCACTTCTATACATGAATTTTCATTTGGGATATCAATTATCAGAAAATGCATGCATTGTTAATAATTGTCATTTGTTTTCACCAATTCATGTTGCAATTGATTTGTACCATCCATAACTCATAAATAAATGCTGCTCGTGACATTTTCAAGCAAATAATCTTTTTTGGCAATATCATTTTCCTTATTTCTAAAAAAAAAGCTTATAATTGAGACTTGTTAGATCTAATGAGTAACCCGTTTTCAAAAGAATGTTATTAAGCTAAACAAATATATTTCCTTATTTATCCACAGCCAAAATGGGGGAGAATTACACATTTAGGTTTCCACAACTCTTTTGTCTTTAAAATACCTTACTCACAAATTAAAAAAATCAACCACCTTTAGCCTTCTTAAATGTGGTCTACATTTAACTATAGAAACTCCGAAGAATTTTCGTTAACTCATTTCCCTATTCCTTTGATTGAAAAAGATGTCTTTCTTTAAATCTATTGAAAACATAGAATCTACAAATAATCTCGAGCATGTGAAATGCTTTATATATCATATCAATCAACTTTGAAAAGCATAAATAGAGTCGATTATTTACATAATCCAGCGGTCCTGTTTTAGGAAAATTGGCGATACTGTTATGTCTTTTGTTTGCACTTCTTCGTTGGCAAGGAAAACCCCACCTGCAATGCCATTGAAATACCCATCTGCAAGAGCAATGTACAACTCTGCTGTTTGTCTTTAAGTCGTGGTGGAAGATTGGTCGATGCATGATTTCTTTTCCAGATTCTGGCTCTTTGTCCTGAAATAGTTTCTTTCCGTTTCGCTTCATTATTTTCTTTTAATTGGTTTTCATTCACCCTATTACGTATCATTACGTATCATTACGTATTGCTACAAAAATAATGAAAATAAAAAAAAATATAATACGAAATAAATTTAATTCTTTGCATTTACCGTTTGTAGCTATATTTGCAAAAGAGGAAAACAATGCAATAGTTGTCAACATCTAAAATATCTGCTTTTAAACTTTTTTAAAAATATCGATTTAGCATTTACTAAATACGTATTTCAAAGAAAGTATGGTATCCATATAAATAACTCAAATAGACGTCAAAAGAAGTTTCTGGCTGCAGGTTATGCTGTGCTTATAGGGATTGCCGCATCCCTATCTTTATTTTTTTTTTAAACATGTATGATAGACCTTCACCCTTTTTAAACATTGGCTTAAAACAAAATTGTTACTTACAAAATTGTTGCATTATCCACCCTTCATACTTCCGATAGATCTTTTATACACAAATTTGCATTAACAGGAATTCAAAGCATGCGATCCTGCATGTTCAGAAGGTAATTCAGGGTAATCATGAAAATACAGAAAGGATAAAACAAAGTCGATGAACAGTGCGCGAATTTGAGAGAACATGTCTAGTCAAGTTAGGTTACGAAGAAGTTAAAAATCAAAGAGATCTTGGTGCAATCAATATTCAAAAAATCATGTTTAACAAGATGACACATTTAAACAGACGAACTATGCCGATCCAATTGATTAATGAAATGGAAAATACAGTACGTGTACACGTAGTTGATTGCAGACATCAAAATAACTAATTCGTAGTAAAGGTATATTAAGGAAATTGAAGAAAATTTTAGATATTATTTCCGATAGATGAGATTTATCTAACTGGGAAAATTAATTGAAAAAAATACCCCTCTGGCAATAAATAATTTTAAATTCGTTTTCTAGAAATAGCTTAAGATTTAAGATCTTAGTAAAATTAAAGCATTATTATATAAGACGTGCTGGTACTTGTTGAAGAAGTTGTAAATTTAACAACCGATAAAACTCTATGACTATACAAACATTAAGTTACAAAAAAATATCTTATTTTAATAAGAATTGTATGTGACTGTTATCTACGCTAGTTTGTATCATAGTACTTCTAGCAACCAAAAAATATCGATATTTCATTAAGAGTTTTAAAAGAATTAGAGCTGTGATAATACGCGGGTAAGGGTGTAACAAAAAGTGCTTCAATTTTAATGAAGGACAGCCACTAAGCGATTTCAATAAAATGACACAGTTAATGACAATGACACAGTTAAATGCAAACTTGTTGAAATGAAGACAAAATCTTAGGTAAACAAAATATGGATAAGTATATCTCAGTTGCGGTAAATTTTATCTAAAGAAGATCTAACCGGTGAAGATTCTTAAAAAAAAAATTACTGAGTTGTATCAGTCGAGAACAAAAATTCTTAAACAAATGTCATCCAGAGAATGGCCTCATTGAGGCCCAGTTTTCATTCCGTTGAATTATTGATACAACAGTTTTTCTTTTGATGTCTGATTGTCTTGCCAAAGCCCGATGGTCTGACACGCCAAAGTCCGATGGTTTGTTTTTTTGCAGTAAGAAAACAAAATTTATAAATTCATCCTCGCATACAGTTTAATGAATTTGCTTATTGCTTGCACCTTGCAAAGGTATTAGGATTAGTCCTCCCGCATCACACTATGATTAGAATTAGTCCATGTTTCACACCAATCTGAGAGGTTTGGACTAGTCCTCGTGCACTAGTCGAGATGATTAGAGTTTGTCTTGCACCAGACAATATTTAAGTTATAGTTGTTACACGCTTTTTAAAGTATTTTTGTTTTGCACATATGCGATATATTTGGTTTGGTTTTGAAAAAATATTTATTATTGTTATACCTTTCAAAATTTGTTCCTGTACAATTCTATACGGAAAAAAGTCTAACATTTCTGACGTTTTGCTGATCGGGCATAAAAAAGTCGACGTTGGACTGCTGAATGAGATGTTGGACCGCTCGGAGAGATGTTGGACCGCTTACATCACAGAATGGGCGGAGCTTAATCTCATTTTCATTCGTTGGTGTTAAACAGTGATGAGCTGATGTTACATCACGGAATACAGTAAAAAATGCATGTATGTCAAAAAAAAAAATAAAAAAATAAAAAAAGGTATAACAAAACATATATTGACAAAGTTCTCGGACAAAATGCGTTTTGTTGACCGTTTCGGCCTAACGGCCTCAGGCAGACAGTTTGGTTCTTGGGTCCGACAATACGCATGTTGCCCTCGAACTCAGTCAATAAATGTATAATATTTATTGAAGACCTTTCCGTAGTGCTGCTTTGGAGTTGGTGCAGTAGTACTACGACGTTATAAACGTCAATTGTTTTCCCCACCATCGGACTTTTTCGTGTCAGACCATTGGGGATTGGCGCAAACTATCGGACTTTATCGAGAACATCGGACTTTAAAGTCCCATCGCACCTTAGAGCCCTACATATTTAATCTCTTTTCTGTTGAAAAAAAAAATGTTTATAGTAAGTTATCAAAAAGGGGACTTAACTTTACATTCCTAAAATATAAGGAATTTTGTGTGTCATTTGGAATTTCATCACATCAATTGACTTCATTTAATCGGGATCGCTTACAAGAATGAATCCAATTTTTTTTTTTATTCTCATTAAAAATATTTTAAGACCAATGTACATAGCAATATTGAAATTATAACGATAAAGTAACTGATTCTGTTTTTTTTTTTGTTTTGGTTTCAATCGTAGAAAAATATCCGATAATGAATGTCTGTTTTCTTTGTAAAAATATACTGTAGACTTCAACGTTTCTTTTAACAATTTTTGTATAATTCACTATATTTGCAAATTTTCTTACTGCTCTCTCTCTCTAGCTAAACTCATCATTTGCTATCATATAACTATGAGCGCTTCGTCTTCAACTATACGCTATTTTCGTTTCTCACACTTGCACGTAAGAATCTACTTCACACATCAAGTGCGTTCAGTAGTATATTATGTGATTTTTTTAAGATTTAAATGAAATCATCATCATAAAAAAGAAATTAAATACGATCACTTACTTTTCATTAAGGCATATTTTTCTATTTACAGACTCACATGATTAATTTGGCATTTAAACTGACTGTTCAATTTTCATGTATTTCTTACATGTAAAAATGTTTTACGGTCATTTTTGTGACAGTGAGAATATTAATTTACTTCAAGATAGAGTTCAGTCTTCAAATGTATTTTAAGAATTCATAAGAGAATAAGAAAAAATACTAAGTTAAAAACCATTTCAGAAAGAGTTGGATCTAACAGCTTACCATGACGTCATATTGTATATAATATATGGAATATTTGCCTGTAACCTAACATCCCAACAATTCTTTGAAAAAATTACGACTTAAGTCCTTTGTAGTAGCAATCAACTATAGCAAATTCGTAAGGTGAAGCTAACCTCATTATCACAGGAAATAGTCTAAAAAAAGACATAAGGATATTAAAAATGTTACATATTTACATTTTCAGAGGACGGAAAAAACAACTGTGACATCACAAAAGAACTCATACAAACAAAATTAAATATTTCCAGAATCCTTATTACTAAACATGTTTTATATAATTATTGTTATTCCTTCTTCAAATATTCTTTAAAAGGCATTGATTGTGATATATTTCTGGGTAATTTTAATTATGAGGTCTTACGAGGTAATCAACGTTTACTTGATCTCACTGAGATCATATATGACGTCAAAACCGTAATAGAATGTAACGTAAGAAACAGAGAGGTGAATCACTCAATTTCACAATTTTTAAATATATAATAACACTATCCTTTAAAATCATATTATTTTATATTTCATGTTAATGTTTCACAAGATGAACAAAAATTACACAAATACGAGGATTTTCCAAAGAGTGCGTGGACAATGGCGTTTTTGTCAATATGATCGTTCAAAATATAAATTAATCTATACCAAAATATTAGTAATGAAATTCCAAGTCAGAAAAAATTGGTTTTATTGTTTGAATTATTGTGTACGCACCAGGATTTCAAAGTCATATACTTTTGAATGAAGTGTTAAAATGATTATTTTCTTTATAAAAATGAGTAAAAGCTTAATAAAAATCAAATGTATCATTGTATTTCTTTTCTACACATTTTTCAGTGCAGAAAAAGCATATGATGTTTAGATTTTATTAACCTAGATTGATGACTCATGTATGAAGGAAAACAAATACGGGTAATTTTGCTTAATTGGGAATGTCGATACTTATAATCATTGACAGATTTCTATTTTTATTTCAAGTGTGATAACTGCAAATTACACATTCAAAAAGCTACAATGGAAGATATTGATTTTTCCCTTGATGCACGGTTAAATTAGCTGTTAAGAATGCAACCCTTCAAAATATTTCGTAAATGAAAGGAACTGTTGTTATGTGTCGTCTTTTAAAGATATTGTTACGCTACACCAAGGACAAACGGTATTGATTGAACCAGTTAATTCTTAACCTGAGATCAATGGTTATGTAATATTTGTTTTCTGATCTTGAAAAATTATCTATGGTATTTTTCTATTAATATTTGAGTTGAACTTTTCAATAGGTAAAGTAAGAAATTAAGTAAACATTTGTATCCTCTCATTAGGATATCTATATTGAAACAGAATAAATAAGAACGTAAAATTTGTCCTACTTTGTTTTTCAATATGTGTTCATGTAACAATATCGTCCATATAACCAGGGCAATAAGAAATTATATATCAATAGTTGCAATATACCCTAATTGAAAAAAAAATGTGTTACTCACATAAAAGTTGTAAATGTACTTACCTGGTCATTGGTCATTTGCAAAATTATTTTGTTAAAGCACATTTTAATTCCACACTCAAGTACTCTGAAGTTGACATAAAAAAGATGCCTGAGTTTCTGATTGACAATATTTACGTGTCATCTTTAAAATGACAATTTCTTTGTAAAATATACTATAGATCCTTTTTTGACATTATTTCCGAGAGATCTTGTGTAAATTATTAATTTTTGAGTGACTTTTCAATAAGCTTTGATTAAATTATTGACTTTAAATTACTAGGAAAAATATTCTAAGAATGAGGAAAATATGAATTTGAATCTAGATTTATATATAAATAAAATGTTTTAATGTTTTCTGTCAAACGATCGTATTTCTTTAAAAAAAATTCCAAATATTCTTTATTCATTCTTCTAAGATATAAAAGACTATAAACACATTAAACTGCATTATAATTTTATTTTAACTGTATTTTTGAACACTTCCTGAGCATGATTATTTTTCTAAATTTGTTTCCTGATCCCGCGGTTTGTTTACTACATAAATGGACTGGCCCAAAAATTAACAAAGCAGGTCAACAAGTCATGGGACATTTGTATCCCCATTTCAGATCCACGCGATGGGGAAGAAACCAGTTCAACATCCATCTTTTGAAATGTTTACAATGCATGATTTCATAACAGATATTATAGATATTATATAACATGTGTAATGTAGCCTTCAATTTAGATCAAAGGGCAGATCACTCCACATGCAGACCCCTC